ATCTTCACAAAATCTTTCAAATTGTTCATTTTGAAACTCACCACCATGATCACTTCTCAAAGACTTGATTTTCAAATCAGTTTTGTTTTAAATAGCAGTAGGAAAATTTACAAAAACTTTGAAAGTATTACTTTTAGAATGTATAAACAAAGTTCAAGTAAATCTTGAAAAATCATCAACTAAAACCAATGCATAGTAGTTTCCACCATTACTTCTAGTCTTAGAAGGTCCAAACAAGTCAATGTGAATTAATTCTAATGGTTTACAGATTGAAACATACATTTTGGATTTAAAAATGGTTTTACCTCATTTACCCTTTTGACATGCATCTCTTTTTTCAAACTTAATTTTTGGCAAACCAATTACAATGAAATCAATTTTTTTAAATGAGACATATGTATAGGAGCAAGTCTTTTGTGTCATAGCCAAGGTTCATCTTCGTTGGTTATTAAACAAATATCAGTTTCAAAAGTAGTACACTCAAAATCAATCATATAAATGTTTTGTATTCTTTTTCAAATTAATATAATTCTATTTGATGTAGAGTGACATATTATGTAGTGATTTTTTTTAAAAATTATTTTCAAACCCTTATAACATAATTAACTAATACTCAATAGATTATGCATTAAATCTTTCCACCAACAATACATTTTCAATCATTAGAGAAAAGTTATTATCGATCTTACTAGTTCCAAGAATTTTTTCCTTGTTGTTATCACTATAGATAACATACATACTCACCTTTTTTTAAAGTGATGTTTATGAATTTACTTAAGTCTCAGTCATGTGTTTAGAGCATCCATTATCCAAGTATCACATTGAGTTTTTTATGCCCAAATTTTTCTACAAAATATATTAAAAGTTTTATTTAGGTACCCAATCAAATTTGGGTCATTTAATGTAAGTTACATGCATTTTTTCTTTTGGTAACCATTTATATTTACCTCTTAGAACACCGAAATTGTTCAAATAACAAGTTTTTCATGTATCTTCAATCTCATAACAATAAAAACATGATAAAAATATTGATTTGCTTATGTTTAAAAAAAATTTGGGTCTATCTAATCGATTATCAATATAGCCAATTTCTTCTCTATTTAAAATTCTTCTTTGGGAATTCAATACAACATCTAGATTTGCTCTACCCAGTGTGAATTTTGAAAGAGTTTTCATAAGATACTTAATTTTTTTCTAAATGTTTCTTACCATCATCACACTCATGCACAAAATTCTTATTATTCATTTCTAAAGTTTTCAATTTTGTTTACAAATTCTCATTTTCATTTTCAAGTTGTTGTAATATGTTTTCCAGCCATCTATTTTCACCCTTAAACTTATTATTAGAATATGCTAATTTTTTTTGCTTCATCATACATTTCATTAAAGACATCCAACACCTGATAATAATTATTTTTATTATAAGATGCGAGGCTACTTACAGTAAATTTGCTTGATATTTCAACATTTGCCATCAAATAGAAGTTTGCTTCTTTATTTGCATTTCCACTTGACTTTTTGAAAGTACTTGAGACATTGTCTTCCCAAGAAATATATGTATTCTTTTTATTGTAATTCTTTGCTTCCTTTCTCTCTTCTAGCTTTTGTTTCATCTTGAACACTGCAAAGTCTGACTTGATATGCCCAAGCTTTTCACACTCATAACATATAAGAATGTTTCCCTGTTCTTATTTCTTAAATGGTTTGACAGAAGATTTGTTAGCAAATTTATTCTTATATTTAAGAAACTTAGAAAAAAAAAATACTAACAAATTCAAGTTTTCACTATTAAAGTCTTCATCTTCATTTTCCTACATAAAATCAGTCTTCTTTGTACAAGTCTTTAAAGCAACAATGTGCTCTTTCACTTTCTTCTTCTTCTTCTTTAAGCCTTCCAATATTTAACTCATGTTCCCTTAGCTTTCCAAATAGTGTGGTCATATTCATTATTGTAAGATCTTTGGATTATGAAAAACAGTCACTTTAGGTTGTTAAGTTCTTCATAAACTCTTTAGAATCTTGATGTTCAATTTCTCTTTGTCAAAATCCTTTCCAAGAGCATTAAATGATTCATAATATGAGTAGACCTTTTCTAGACATCATATACATTTTCTCGAGCTTTTATTATGAACATTTCATATTCTTGAATAAAAGTACTCTTTCTTTGCCCTCTTTACTTTTTGAGTTCGTTCATGAGCTTCAAAAACACTCCACAATTCTTTAGATGTTTTAACATAGAGATCTTATAGAATTCATCAAGTGTTAGTGCAGAAAAAATAATATTTCTAGCTCTAACATCATAGTGAACTTTTTTATTTTTATCAGGAATCTAATCATTAAAATCTTTAATTATTGTTTCACAATCTTTGACCTTAGTTGGTTGAACAGAATAATTTACAACAACATCCCATATATCTTTGCTAATATATTCAAGAAAAATCTTCATCCCTTTTTTTCAAAATGGATAATTCTCTCCAATAAATAAAGGAAGTTTGTTTATAGATGTTCTTTTAGAAAAAGTTTGAGAAATGTTAGTCATTTTTTTTTTATCAAAATTGATTACCTTTTGATAACCTAGTTCTGATACCAATTGTTGAAAAAATTAGAATGACTTATCATAACCCAAGATGGGGTGAATTGATATTTTAAAACTTTCTTTTCAAAATCTAATCAATTAAATTGTCTTGATCTTTTAAATTTTCCAAAACAAAACTGATATTTTTGTGTTAATTTAATTGAAATAGAATATGAAATGTATTGCAATTGTTCTAAAATACCAACATAAGAGAAAGAAAAGACAAGAATACAAATATTTATATTGGTTCGATTTCGTAGAATCTACATCAAATTATCTAAGCAACCTTAACTTGTATTTTCACTGTAAACTTTTAAAATTCAGAATATAAGAATTCACTTATGCAATTTACACCCAAGAATAAGATTGCATATCTTGAAAATCAAACCTTTTAACAAGATAAAAAAAAAACCTGAAAATATTATCTTCATAATTTTTAAGCAACTCTGATCATGCTCTCCTCACAATAATCAAGAGCTAAAAATTACGAAAGAACAAAAATGAACAAAATCACTTGAATTTGAATTATACACGTTCTTGTAGTCAAAATGACTTAACATTTAAATATAATTTTCACAAATTGTTTCACAATTTCAACCAGCTGTCTTAATGCCCACAAGTTCTCTCTTTTCGAATTTTGATTATATTCCAAAAAATGTATCTGACCAAAATTTGTTCAATTTAAAGAGTCAAAATATTTTCAATTGATTTAGATAATTGATTAAAAAAATTTAATCAATTAATTTGGTGTAGTATTTCAAAAATATAATTATATAGTCAATTAAATATTATAATTGATTATCAACTTTTAGTTCTAAAGTCAATTAATTTGTTTAGAAAATTTCAAAATCTGACTTTATAATTTCTAAATACACACAATTACTGAAAATCATAAAAAATATACAAAAAAATTCTTCTTCTAAAATATCAAATCTTCGTCAAAATATCAAATTACTAATAGGTACAAGTCAAATAACTTATTTTCTAAAATACTAAAATAAAAATCTTTTGATCTCTCACAAAATTTAATATTTATTTGAAGTTATTGATATAATTATTTTTTTATTTATGATAACAATTTATTTTTATTTGCTCTATTACTATCTATTCTTTAATATTTATTTCAAGTTAATCGGTTCCAGTAAAAGTTATATTTTATGGATGTCGAATATACTTTTAAAGTATCAAAACGATACGTGTCATCAACATTTTCTTCCTAATTTGCACTAATAATCGTATCTAATGTTTTTTTTTCTACATTTTATGCAAGTAAAAAATAAATAAATTATTAATATGATAGTTTTTTACATTTTTTTAACTTATTCTTACCAAAATATCATTATTAAAATAATAATATATACCTTTCACGTTTAAATGCTTCTTTAATCATTTGTATACATTTTCCCATAGTTATTATCATTATTATTAATCAAAATATTAGTATATTCAAATGCTGTGCTATAGTAATAATATTTTTCGTATTTTGCACTAATAATATTGTTTAATGTTAGTTCTAATTTTAAAATAACTAGTTACAACATTTTATAATTGATTGTTTGTTATGCAAGTCAATTTTTAAATATTATAGTAATATTTTGTCTGATTACACATTTAAATGGTTTTTCTTCGTATTATGTTGTGAAAATTATTACTACGCATAATATTTTTCTTTTTTAATCCCACTACTTTTGATTTATATTAAGTTTTTTTTCCTGCCCACCAGTAATGATATTATTTCTATTATTTGTTATTTTATTTATTAAATTACTTTTGCATTTTACTAATGTCTTTGTTGCATCAATTATCTTTCTCAAAAAATTAATTAATCACGGACTGGATTCTTCTAAAATTCATTAAACGCAAAATTGTTTTACAAATGAGGCCACGATCTATGCATTCCTCAATATAACATTAATTGAACCCGAATGAACATATTACTCTTCATAAATTTTTCACTTTTGCAATGCCATTATACCCATACCAAGTGAAATTGAGAACAAAAGAAAAACGTGATACAACCGGGGGATTTAAAAAAAAAGGAAAAATGAAGAGACATAAGATAAGTTCATTTTCCACAGACCATATTCACGAATTACTACGAGCACCATTAATGTTAGTGGCGAACAATGGCATAGCTTCGGCAGATTTGAGGAGAGGTTGAGCCTCATATCATGAAAATCGTTCCATTAACTGTCATTCCTACAAAAACAATGTTTTGGAAACCAGTAAAAAATAAGGAATAAAATACAAATTCAAGCCAGTAAAAATAACGTGTATCCAACTACATAAAATGGCCATTGCGTGGTATGACTTCAGTATACAGAACATAAAACTAGAAACTAGCACCAGATAGCATTAATATAAATCAATACTTACTACACATTAAACTTTAGAAGGCTGAATACACAAATAAACAAGAAAAGACTCATTCTTCTCGAGTAGCAGGATCCATTCCAGTGGAAGGGCTATCGGCAAAATATTCTTGGTGCCTTAAATTCACGCCATACTGTTCATAAAAGATAATAAGTGGGTTAATGTAAAGGAATATTAACAGAAAGAGCAAATTTAACAAAAATGAATGATATATTATCTTCTAATCATAGATCTCAATAAAAACCATAACGTTGATCTAGGAATAAGTATAAAAACATTTCTTGAAAACACGGCTAGACCACCCACATGGGATGGCATGGCACGATTACTTGCTGTTTGTGTCTCTCGGCCCCGAACCCTTTGTGAACAAACCCCCCAAAAAATAAAGAAAATGAGGAGGCTAGACCAGCTGGTCAGACAGGGCATCCATCACTCATGGAAGTTTAAAAAACCAGTGAAGCAATTCAAACCAATCAAAAGTCTTGATTTTTCAGTTAAGATAAATGAAAGAAAGTAGTGAAAGATGTTATAGGCAATGATGGTGTTCAAAGCAGTGGATATAATATTACTATTCTGATCCAATTCTCTCCTCTCAGATGTGTCAATTGCCATAAATTGGTTAAGTCCTTCTCCACACTAGTGAATATTAGCCACAACCACCATCTTCTATAAACTTGCAACAGCGCAACAGAAGACCTAGGTAAACTAGCAAAGATTTAAAAGATGAGTGATGGATTATCACAGACTTGCATCTGGAAGAGAGTGAATTATTCATATATATAGCCAAGGGCGGAGAGTGGATATTACATAGTGAGAGTAAACATCAATAATACACGAATGGATCAATGACCCTACACAATGAGGATAAATACTGAAACTATTCTTACCTCACGCAATGCTTTTGATAGGTCTTCCATTGTCAAAACTAAACGTTTATCCTGTTATAAATAATGAAATGTAAGTACTAGACATACACTAAATGTATAGACAAAACCAGATAAAAGCGGTCAAAACCTTCTGCTGCTTGTCCCTTTTGTCTTTTGGAATTGTTGCTTGTCTTGCTTTGCAGTGCCTACAGTTAACATCTAGTCAACTCATCATCCAGCATGGACACGTAAAAGAAAGACAAGGCAACTAAATAACTCAAAACAATGAACTTATAACTTAAACTAATAAAAGAAATTAGTAATGCAATCGTGGATGAGAAGAAAAGGGAGAAATTTCTGAGATTTTATATCATTAAAATCAAGAAAATCTATAAAACTTGGACAAAAACTAATATTAAAAAAAAAAAAACTGTTGGCCAGTTATATCCTATGAAGACATTGACACTTGGACAGGACTGTTTTCTAAAATATAGGACATTTGGGACTCCTCATACATATATAAGTGTGTGTAGAGAGTGATACAGGATCAAATGAAATAAAATATAAGCAACATAAGAAAAAAATCTAATTGATAAATATCATTTTTATATTATATATTCATCTTATGATGACGAGTCTAAAGAAGAATGACAAGAAACGTCATTTACAATGAAAGTACTGTACTTCTTACATATATATAGATTATACCAAAAAAGTTAGGACAAACAATGTCCTGTGCTATAAGTTGGTCAACGACCTTAATATTAAGCTTTTTTCTTACATTTCTCCTCTCATTGTAATTTCTTAATATTTATGCACATTTACATAAGTAGGGATAAAATAAAAGAAACTAAGTGCAATTCCATTGAAATAAGTGTGCATGTGCATTTCCTATATAATGCATCAGACACACTTATTAAAGACACAAGTGTTCTTCAGACACTCCTCAGCTCCTCTCACACGCATGAACAAACTTTTACAAAATTGTTCAATACTTTTTGGGAAAATATTTCTAAAATTAACTAACACATGAATAGTTAGCTGTGATGCAGCAATTCAAGCTTAAAAATAATAATATAAAAAATAAAAGTTTGAAGGTCAAAAATTAACCAAAAAGCACAGGTAAAACGAACATACTGAAGTGCATCTCCTGCAACTTCAGCAACAAACTTCTGAGTGGCAACAGCTACCAACCTAGTCCTGAAAAAGTGATGAGCATTTCTAGTCAAGTTCACATTATAAGAACAAGACATGCAAGGCTTGAATCCAATAATCAGTCAACAATAGTCAACCAAAATGCCAGAAGTGTTGAACACCAATGAATTTCACACAATAAACACTTATTTTCAACCGTATTAGATTAGAGGTACAAAACAACAATACACAGCAAGAAATCCAATATTAACCCAGAGTTAGAGTGAAAAGAAAAATAAAATAACTGGCAAATCAGAGTAACACAAATAGTATATTTCATCATTTTCCAACTTAAACTGACTAGCAGTCACTTGTTTCCAATATAACGAATGCACCACGTTAAACAATCCCAAAGAAAGTGTACGCGACATTAACATATAAATAAGTACAAGAGTCGTGTTTTACACAGAAACCATAACAGATATATGAACTATTAATATTAAATCTTTATTTGCTAATCCACTCATCTCTAAACAACTTAAAAATCAATTTGACAGCTACAAGCCAGAGGGACACAAAGCTGAGATGGGTCCATGTCATAGGATGGTGACTTTTTATTTCCATGCAGAGATTTGTTTTTCCTTTGAATTTAACACAGAAAAATATTGACGAGGTCATACTGTCAAATCACTCTATCACTTGTTATTTTGCAAATGCATAAACTCTTGATTTACATACTCTTTTTTCATATATTTCAGCATGATAACAACATTTAAAAAGCTCAACTCGGGCAAAGACTTACTACACACAAACAGAGAGAGCAGGAACAAAAAGAAAGGAACACTAGAAGCGTTTAGAAACCGAACAGGATAAAAGGCATGAGAAAGGAGTGGAAAATGTGAGTCTAATCCAACTTAAACCAGCAGATGAACTAAAATAAATACAAGATGTCTCAATCAAACTGCCACAAAAGGGTAAATTTGACATGCATTAGCCAACAGTCCAAACTCGGCCAGATGCAAAATGTAATCAACAATCTTTTCAGTCTTAAGGTGTTAATCACGCCCTTAACCCATATATTTTCTTATTTATGTTAGAATAAGAACAGAGGAACATGGGAAAGAAATTTAATAGTGAAGGTCATTTGAACAATTGAATCCGAGAGAGCATGCATAACCCCAATGAATTTAGGGCGAGATAATCACAGGACAAGAGAAGCCCAGAAGAAATATTGGATTCAATGACTTGTTTTCTCAAAAAATAAAAATAAAAATAGAAAAACTTGCCTAAATTGAATTCCACGGACCCTTATTTTCCGAAGCAGAATATAAAGAAATTGATGGTGAATAAAATATAAGAGGAACTCACAATCGAACGTCAGGACACTGAAAACCGCTCTTGGCCAAGTAATGCTCCACCAATTCATCAGGTATCTAAACAAAGGGAAGACTTATTAAATTGCGTGGAATGGGAAATTAGAAGAAAAAGAAAATAATAAAGATAAAGGAAAGTTACAGTGGGAGTGTAATCCATTAAGGAAGCGAGGAAATCAGAAAGAGCAGTATCGTCGTCGGGTCTTCCTTCACTTGATTGCGGGTTCTGATTCATCTTTCTTCCTTACCAATCAACCACTGCCAAAAAAGCTAAATACTTAACAACAAACGTTATTGAATTCAATAAATTAACAATGATATGACATGATAGATGAAGCAAACAGAGAATGCAGAGCATTCGAATTCAAACCTCGACTCACAAAATTTTCCTTCGCTCCACCCCTCTTTCTTCCTAGCTTCGTGTAGTGGATGCTACCGTCATTCGTCCTCATCGTATCACATGTTTCTTTCATCCTTCTTAGGTTAATGGGCTTCGCTGCATTAACAAAGCCCACGTTTTCTTTCTACAACAACCACTAGAATATTGGGCTCCTACCTTTTTTTTGTTATATGCGCTCCCTATTTGTCTTTTATTTGAAATTTGCGTGTTTATCCTTAAATTTTACCTCCCCTTCAAAACATTCTTGTTTTCTCCCCGCCCTTTCAAAACATTCTAATTAGACAAATTCAAAAAGTTATTAAGAAACACCAAACTAAAATGTCTTTGAATGTTTTAAACAAGTATATAAAAGTCGTAGATTTTTGTATACTCTAGTTGTATTTTTATGAAAACAAGTATAATAAAAAACATAAACATACGAGCATAAATTATGTTATTGATAATAATATTTAACTTATTAATATTATTAGACTATATATTATATATTGATTATAATTGATATTTCATCAAACTGTTTGTGTTTTTTTATTCCGCCTTTTTTTTAATTTCGACAACATTTTTGTAGATTATTTAAATCCCTTGTTATATCTGATAAGAAAAATAATGTAAATATTAAAAGAAATAGGAATAGTTTTCTTTTATGATTAAAACAAAAAGAGGACTCTGTGTTATTCTATTAATAACTTGTGTAATTTATTATCTGATTCTTAAATTTAACAAATAACTTCATTCAATACATTAAATATTAAATTTCTTCATTCTTTAGATGACACTAGTTAGTATATCTGATAATTTCTTAGTTTTCAAGTTCATTGTGTCGAATACATAGACAAAATTTTGGATGCAAAATTGACTGTGAATAAAAGATAGTAAAAAAGTTGATTTCTTAAAACCAAATGTTTAAAATAACGATACTTCGTAAATTGTTGATTGGGAGGCATAATACTGCATTTTAATACATGAAATTTTAGAATGTTTGAAATGCAAGAATGAACTATTAACCACAAAAGCTTAAACGTACAAACTAAAATTGATGTGCCAACCTCTTATGCTTTAATTGCAACAATGTAGTTTGCGTTCATGTCATGAACTTAGCATAATCGAATCAACTTATTGCTATTTTTCTTTTCACTCGCAATAATGGTTGTTTGCATACCTTTTTGCACCCTCAGATGGTATACTTTCTGAATAAAATCATTTAACAGTTACTGTTTTTTCAGTCAACATTATCCGTTTTGTTTGAAAATCAATTTATTTTAATAATATAATTATTCCTTTCTATCCGTGGTATCTATCTACTCAATCAACTCCATTTTAGAGTGAAACTTTACTCCTTGCTCATTAAAAATAAACGTTGGTACACATTCATCACTCTAACACAAAAAAATAATCTACTAAATAACCTAAAGTGCATACAAAAAGTATATTTTGGAGTAAGATGATGTGATTATATTGTTTTATGGGTGGAAGAATACGATGTTAAGTATAGTTTGGAATATATGTCTTTCGAAAGTCTTAATTCCATGATTGTTGAGAATAATAAAAAATGAGGTGGTGAAAACCGAAGAAAAGCATAGCTGTACAGCATGATCAGAATGGCAAGATAGTTATAAGAAGGAAAGTTTTGTCCCTTTTTAAGAAGAAACGCACCGAAATTGGTAGAGCGGAGCACAGAGGTAATTAACTACCATGAATTATGAATAACGAAAAGAAAAAGAAGAGAAATGAAAAGAAAAGAAAAGAGTCTTTGTATTAGTAACTCTCGTCTCTCACTCGCTCTCCTTTTCATACGTACTTATTACCAAAACAACACGAATCTCATTTCTCACTCTCTCTCTCACTCACTCGCTCACCTTTTCTGCCTTTTCCTTAACTTCTAAGCACCTTAGCTTCCTCGTTCACTCATTCAGTCTCCGTGCTAGGGTTTTCTCCATCCTTCTTCTCCCATTCTTAATCAGAATCCGAACTCAACTTTCTCCGTCGTCTGGTACTTTTCTCTTATTTCATGCGCCTTTCTGCTTCTGTTTCTCTACTCACCGTCAACATTTTCTTCTCTTCTTTGCACACTTCCATAGAGAGAGGAGTGTGGCTGGAATGTCGTCCTCCAGAGGAGGAGCGGGGCCGTCCTCGGAGGCGCCGGCGCCGAGGCGGATCATGCGGACGCAGACTGCCGGGAACTTGGGAGAGTCGGTGATTGACAGTGAGGTTGTGCCTTCCTCTCTCGTCGAAATTGCGCCCATTCTTCGTGTTGCTAACGAAGTTGAAAAGACTCATCCCAGGGTTGCTTATCTCTGTATGTTTCTTTCTTCACGTTCCACTTTCATCATCCCTTCCTTTTGTTTTTGTAGCAATTTATGTTGATCTGATCTCGCATTGCAGGCCGCTTTTACGCGTTTGAGAAAGCTCACAGGTTGGATCCCAACTCAAGCGGTCGCGGTGTTCGCCAATTCAAAACCGCACTTCTTCAACGCCTTGAAAGAGTAACTAACCATTCTCCTACTTCTTTCTGCCTCTGCTGCACACACTCTTTCCCACTTGGTCTCCTCCAATATATCTTCCGCCCTGCTTTACCGTTAAATATTCTGGGAATCCTGAAGAATTGTATGTCATACACATGCAATGTAGTTGTGTGTGTGGTTCATTTGCTGTTATCATTAATAAAGTATGGAAAAAATGTGTGAACTGTGGAAATTCTATAATTCAGAGTGGAAATTAGTTTTCATTGATGATTCTCACCTCTTTATAATCCGTGGGCCATGTAATCATGATTATCAGCATGAATGGAAAGTTCAGCATTGACTCTGCCCTGCTTAGGCTGCGGTGTTTTACTCTTGCACAGTACGGGGTCAAAATTTAATGCTTTCTATCCGCTTGAAAGATGACAATAGTACTAATCCAAACTGCTAAAGTCTGTAGAACGAATTATGTACGAGTAGAATGAACTGTTGCCTCATATGAAACTCGATGATCCTGTGTGTTCATTTTTCATGATAAGTCTCTCAATGTTTTATTTTTGTTTATTTGTTCCAATATTGTTAGGAAAATGATCCAACCCTGAAAGGAAGGGTTAAGAAAAGCGATGCTCGTGAGATGCAGAGTTTTTATCAGCATTACTACAAAAAATATATCCAAGCTTTACAAAATGCTGCTGATAAAGCTGACCGGTAGATTCTACAGATAATTTTCTATTGATATGTTATCCGGCTATTATGTGACTAATAGTTCGTCTCTTCTTTCAGTGCGCAGCTCACCAAGGCTTACAACACGGCTAATGTTCTTTTTGAGGTTTTGAAAGCTGTTAACATGACACAATCTATGGAAGTTGATCGCGAGGTTATTTTCTGTGGCTCCTAAGATATTATTTTTCTATAGGGACCCTTCTTACTGGGTTTTTACTGGATGTTTACATTACTAGTACACATGGTTGATTTGCCGTGGCCATTGTTACAGATTTTGGAGACCCAAGATAAAGTTGCCGAGAAAACAGAGATCTTAGTTCCGTACAATATTCTTCCTCTTGATCCTGATAGTGCTAACCAGGCTATAATGAGATTTCCTGAGGTATGATATTTGGTTTTTCATGCATTGTAATTCTGACTATTTTGCTTAGAATGAAATTTTTTTATTTATTGCTCGTTGTAGATCCAAGCTGCTGTATATGCTCTTCGTAACACTAGGGGTCTTCCTTGGCCTAAGGACTACAAGAAAAAAAAGGATGAAGACATTTTGGATTGGCTTGGGTCAATGTTTGGATTTCAGGTAAAACACTAAGAAACTGTGAGGTTATTTATCTATTTTAACATTGTACTTCTATTTTTAAAACAAAAAGCTAACATCTTCATTACTATGTAATTGAATTGAACTATTTTACCTCCTTTTGGTTTTAATATATAGTTTTATTCATACTGCAGAAACACAATGTTGCAAATCAGAGAGAGCATTTGATCTTACTGCTTGCTAATGTTCACATAAGACAATTTCCAAAGCCTGATCAGCAACCGAAGGTCAGTTTTAAATTGAACTGATGCATATTTTCAATTTTAGTTTCTGTAGAAAACCATGTCTATTTTTATTTAATATAAAAAGAAAAGTCAAACAGAAAAAAAAAAAACATGTTCAGTTGGTTGATCCTTGGGAAAAGATATAATACAGTATTATCTTCGTTTATTATGTCCTTTCTTCTGTAACATCATCCAAGCATTTTGCAATTTTATTTCCCTTTTAATCTTGGAAGGCTGGTTCTGTCTGTTGTGCTCAGTTTAATACGTAAAATTTGAAAGCTCTTTAAACTTGTATAAATGCACTTTGTATGGTTTTGGACTTTGGAGTGTAGGGGAGGCATGCTTAATTTAATGTTTTGAAGCGTGTAAGTGGGCACGGTGATTCTTTTGTTGATATGATACTGTGCAGCTGATTGTTTCTTTCTTCATGCTGCAAATCCTCTGCTTTCCTACTGTATTTCTTTTATCAGGACTTCAAAGGTCTTGCACATTTTCATAAACAGTCCATTCTGATTCTCTGATGGCTATCTATCTTCATTTGTGATTTTTGAACATTAAACTAGGCGGAATTTGATTTGTTTTTTCTTTTCATTTTCAGTTGATAACTTTCCGGTTTAAGAAAAATTCTCCTTGTTTTCATTGTTTATTGTTTCCATGATACCTGAAGGAAATGGTGAAAACTAAGGCGGTGTTTATTGTTTGAGAAATTAGAAAATGTATTTTGTTTTCATGTATTGTTTCATACTTAATTACCAAAAGGCACTGTATTTTACTTTGGGTTCCTACTTTTGAAGATTTGTACTGTGTATGGTGAAAACAACACCTTCCTTATTTATTTTATCTTGTTTCCTCCATATCTTATAAATTTTTTTGAAAATAGGAAAGAAAGTGAAAACAAGGTAACATTTTTGTAATTATTTGTGAACACAGGAAAGAGACCCTAAACTTTGTTGCTTTCACTCCACCCTTAGGAAATCCTTGATAATAGGCAACAAAGTGAAAATAAGGTGACATTTTTTGTAATGTTAGTGAAAACAGATAAAGCAAAATTGAAAGTCTGGAAATAAAACAAACAGCACTTAATATTTTTTTGCGTACTTTTCATCAGTACAAATGTAATACATAATTTGTATTATCTGCTTGTAACTAGTTTCCTTTGTTTGATTAGTTGGATGAACGTGCTCTGACAGAAGTGATGAAGAAACTTTTCAAGAATTACAAAAAATGGTGCAAGTATTTGGGTCGGAAAAGTAGCCTCTGGTTTGTGTTTCTACTTTATTTTGAACAGTAGATGTCATAATACCTTGCTCACTAGCAGCTCTTAGCTTTGATCTACTCTTCTACAGGGAAAATATATGTATTTTTAAGTTCTCCTTGTAACATGTCTTGTGGATGCGTTTGGCAGGTTACCTACCATACAGCAAGAAGTACAGCAGCGCAAACTACTATATATGGGTCTGTATCTTCTAATATGGGGCGAAGCTGCCAACCTACGCTTCATGCCAGAATGCCTTTGTTATATATATCACCATGTATGGCCACTATTCTCAAAATGGCAGAATTGATTTATGATGTTTATCTACCTTTTCTAGAATGTTCAAGTATTTTTGTTGTTTCCCAATGTTTGGATTTTTGGGGATGTTTTGATGCATTTGCAATGAAAAACTAATTTTGGATATGTAATGACATGTGAATTCGTTATCAAGCATATTGATCCCTGCATATGTGTGTGTGTGCTTAGCTTGTTTCTCTACGGATTTCACTTTAGAACAAAAATAACAAATTTATTTTGCTGAGTGGTGTAATCTGTTGTTTCTCCTTATTCCTGCTCCTCTGATGCAATTTCCCCTCTCCCCCCTTTTTACTCCAGACATATGAACATGAGAACATATTGAATAACCCATATTTTGTACTTTTATGCATTGTAACTTTGACCTGTTGAAAGTTGACTCGTTAGATAATCCTAATTGCCCAGACACACTATCACCACAGGGTTATCAATTGTGTGATATAGTGCAGTGGAGACTTAGTTCATTTTTATCTCAAGCATGTTGCATCTGTGAATCGTGGCCACTATGCTGGAAAATGTCAGCCATCTTGGCTGCTATTCTTCACGGAGAGAAAAACCCCTTTACCTCCGTTGCTGTTTTTACATGCATGTTTGAACCTATTTCATCATTATCTTTGAAATTCCCCCTTGATTTCATTCAGAAGTAGGTTTCTGATTTGGGACAAACATTTTAATCTAGAAATATATTTGATAACAAAAAATATGACAGTTGACATGTGTTTTGTTTCTGGTCACTCTCTGACATTGTGTTTATGTATCATAGTACAAGTGGTTGATTTGGGTCTCTATTCTGTTCACAATCACATGATGCATTCATTATCTTTAGAGTCACTATTTAGTATTAGTATTTTACTGGTTGTGTGCCTTGTGCCATGGTCAAAGACTGGTTACTTGCTATGATTTCAATGTTTGGCCATGTAATTGGTATCTGTATTCTTGCATCCTGGTTGGGACTAGTTCCCTTACAGTTTTATATATCTATATAATGCAAAAGATATTTTTTAATCACTATTGATTGTTCTCTGCCTTGCCATACTTATATGTTCAATTCTTTGTCTTTGTTAGGTACAAAATATTCAAATATCCTTACCAAATGGCTTCATAATTCTTAACCAATTACTCTTTTTATGTTATCTGATTTGTTTATTTCTTCTATGAGAAAATTAGATTAATTTTGAAAAGTAGTTATTGTAAGAAAAAGAAGAAGCACAAAGTGAACTTACTGGAACTATTGGTGATGAGATTCTACCAGTGACTGTGTTGGTGTTTTGGATGAATATGTAATTATGTGCCTTTATCTGGAATAAGTTTTTACGAGAGCTGGTGTTTATGCTTTCTTCATGTTTAAGAGCATCATAATGTCTGTATCCTGCATTAGTTGCTGACACCGAAAATTTAATGCACGTAGCTTTCAGTCTCGAAGATATAATATTCTGTTTATATCTTTAATTGCTGTTGTCATTTTGTAACATCGTCTTCTGTAATATCTATGACTGTCTTGAAACATGTAGTTCTCATATATGATATAGATATTTTTGACATGCTGTGATTTTTTTTTTTTTTTTTTTCTGGTGTTGCATAATCTTATTTTCATGACTGTTTAGGAGGAAATGTCAGCGCTAGTCTATTTTTCCTATGGTTTTGGCATTTGCTAAAATTGTCACCTTTGCCTTGTTGGTTTTAATGAGACTTTGATGGCAATATGCTGCTATTGTTGAATATGGACATGAATGGGTTCTTTTCAATGTGGATCCTGTAGATGGCTTTTGAATTGTATGGTATGCTTGCTGGTAATGTCAGTCCGATGACGGGAGAGAATGTAAAGCCAGCTTATGGAGGTGAAGAAGAGGCTTTTTTAAGGAAAGTGGTCACTCCTATCTACAACGTGATTGCTAAGGTTTTTCCCATTCATTGCAGTCTGCTTGTTCTTTCTTTTTATTATGAAGCTGTTACATACTTATAAACTTATTTTCATTCACTTTCACATTTATGAATAAATTTATATTTCCTTGCTCAAAAGGAAGCTGCTCGTAGCAAAAAGGGAAGGTCAAAGCATTCACAGTGGAGGAACTATGATGATTTAAATGAATATTTCTGGTAAAGTTAATTTTTCTTGTGCATTGATTGTCATACCTGTCGATGATTTAAATTTTTCACAACATACTTGTAGGTCTGCTGATTGTTTTCGGTTAGGTTGGCCAATGCGTGCTGATGCCGATTTCTTTTGTCTGCCTTATGAAAAGTTGGTATTTGATAAATCTAATGTAAGTATTGATTATTAATTTCTCATTTTCTTACACATATTAACTATAAGCATTTACTTTTATCCCAATTTTATAAAAAGAGATTACATGTATAGTTATTAACTTTCCTGTTCATTGAAAATATATGCAAAGCTTCTGGTTTTATCGCTCTCTTTGATATATATATATATATATATATATATTTTTTTTTTTCTGGTAGATCCTTTTAGGTAGTTATTGTTATCTTTTGCATAAAAAAAATACATTGGGAAAGAGAAGTGGAACATGATTAAAATTGAAGTTTATCTAATTGGTGTGTATGTAGTAGTGCTCCCGATGTTTTTTATTTTATTTTTTTAAATTCAAGTTTTCAATATTTTCGATAGAAGAGTCTACAAAAGAAAAATGATGAATTTCTGAATTTTGTAATATGTATCAGAGACTATCCATGCTTTTTTTTCTGATTCGAAGTCATCTATGATTCATCACGATTGTTTGGCAAATCATATTAAATTGTGTAATTTTAATCACGAATCATAAGATTCTGATAACTAATAATGATTTTCTATGTGTATGTAATAGGAAAGGAAGTTGGTCTTGTTTCTACTATTTTATTATCTGTTTGTCAATTACGTTATTATCTATTTTTATATAATTATATATTAGGGACAAATGTATATAAATGTAATTATTTATAAATATAAACCGAACATATATAAAAATAAAAACGTAATAATTAATGAAATTATTACAATAAGAGACATGTATATATAAAATAATGAGTAGAAAGAATATAAAATATAAACCAGCCAAGAAGCTTACAAAACTAGTTTGAATGTTTATTATTTTTTAAAATTTATTTTAACATAATTTAAAACTAAATAAAACGACTTATTTAATAAGGATTACAATTTGGTATAAATGATTTTATTTATTATTATTATTATTATTAGTTATTCTTATATAACATCAGTTTACTGATTATATTTACTTTTTAGTTTTATGTCTTTATTTCTCTTATAATTATATCATATTAGTTCTTTATCATTATAATTGTTCATATGAAATTTGATAAATCATATTGTTATAACTATTCATGTCAAATTTTGTTAAAATTTAACAATATTAAGGTGATCAAATGATTCACATTTTATTATATTTTGAAAAGTATACATTAAGTTGATTTTAGTTTATATAAACAAGGCATCAAATTATTTTAGATTAATAGTTTTTTTTATATATGATTGTGTGAATAAACGTATATCAGTGAGTTTTTTTTTTATTAACTTATCGTTAGATTGAATGTTCCCTTCACACAATCATATATAAATATATGGATGGATAGATGGATATTTATACGTATACATGTATCTGTCTATCTATCTATATATATTGTTGAGATATGTCCTATGTTTTAGGATTTAACTTTGTTTCTATGTGCATGTTCCTTATTAGACTAGGGTTAATATTTTGGGCTAAGGCCTTACCCTTTCTTTGTAATATCTATAAATACAACATTAACAATGTCTTTTGACATTGTATTGAAACCCTAACCAGTTTTCTCAAGTTGGTATCAGGCGAGTAAGATGCCTTTGTCGTTGGGAGTGAGGACAAGTGGATTGATCTAAAATGCCTTGGGAAGATAAAAAAGAAGAAAAAGAAGCTGAAAAATATATATTTTAGCATTATCACTTGTAAGAGTTTTAATTATCTTCCCAAATTGGTTCTTAATCTCATTAAAAAAAGACACTAGAATTCTCAAAAGGATAGATTTGAACTTTTATCCATTTTTGTGTCCTTTTTTAATGAGACTAAGAATCAATTTAGGAAAATAATTAAAATTCTTAGAGGTGATAATATTAAAGAATATTTATTTGCTGCTTTTCTTTCTGTTTTATCTTACACCCCACAACAAAATAGTATAGTAGAAAGGAAGAATAGACACCTTATTGAGACTGCACACTCTAATGTTTAATGCTAATGTTCCTGATTATACAAAATATGTAATTGACCATATTTTTACTTTAAACTCTGTCCTGATTATACAATATCACACTATTATCACCTGCATGATTGGCTTTCTGTTGATGCTTATATATAGTTTAAGTATCAGAACATAAAATTCATAAACCAATTTCCTTGTAGCTGTTCTTAGGGTAGGAAATGATAACTTATTCAATTATATGCTTGTTCACAAGTCATTTTTATCCCCAATCAAGAAACATGCATTGACACTGTCTTGATTGTTTTTAGTTATATATTAAACTTACACTGTATCTTAAATCTTGCTGAAACTTATATGTACAGGATGACAAGCCACCCAGCAGAGACAGATGGGTTGGGAAAGTGAATTTTGTTGAGATAAGATCATTTTGGCATATTTTCAGAAGCTTTGACCGAATGTGGAGTTTTTTCATTCTGTGTTTACAGGTTTTAAATATATTTTGAATTTTATTTCCCTCCTTTCTTGTTAGTTATTTTTTCCCTTCAACGCTTTGCAGAATAGAGTCTACCTCTGAAAATGGTTAATTTTTATTAGGCTATGATTATTGTTGCTTGGAATAAATCTGGGGATCCAACTGTGATCTTTAATGGTGACGTGTTCAAGAAGGTGTTGAGTGTGTTTATAACAGCAGCTATATTGAAGTTTGGGCAAGGTAGGCAAAAGTCAATTTTATTTGCATCTATATTCAATTTCCAATATGGTATTGCAGCTTACCTCGTTACTTTGATATTATGCTTTATGGTTTCTGCATTTAGTTAATTATTTCTGTATGAATTTGTAATCTAATTTGGGAATTTGACCTCCTACATTTTATATTCTTCATTATTTATATTTGTGAAAGCTGTAACTGCCACATTAAACATTATTAGTGAAAGTCTATAGTTTTTTGTTAACACATAGTGAATTAGTAGTCCTTTCTATAAATTGTCAACATTGGTGGAACGTGGAACTGTTAGCATACAGCGGAAACCTTAGAAAAAAAAGTAAGTAAAATTGACAAATGGAGATAATAGGTAGAAGCATTAGATTAAAAGCATGTTGGTCATCAAGCATATGAAAGTTGAGTTTACATATGGTAGGAGGGGTGTTCTTAGAGGAGTGCTCTAGGTTTCAATCATGTTGAACAAAAAGGTATCTTTAATAGAAAGGCTGGTAGATCTTTTATGTCTGATAAAAGAGTGGTTCTGTATTAAAAACTGGATGATTACGTATCCTCTTAAAGTGACAAAACAAAGCATGTATAATAGAAGAGAAACCCTTGAGATCATTGGCTAAAAATTTTGCAAGATAGCTAAAAGCGCATCTTTGAGCGAAAACTTTATCCGAGCATCTTATTTAAGAGCATTACAATTACAACTGAGAGATATGAAAACCTATGTTGAGAAAATGGTTATTTGGGAGGAGTTTCTATGATTTGCTGAGAGATTGCAAGACTTCTCTTGAGCAAATGTCACATGAAGTGCACTACAAGAGTAACTAATATCCTGTTCCTGGTAACTAACTTTTCAAGTGTGATTGGATTACTCCGTCGAAGTTTGAACACTTGTTTGTTAAATAAATGACATATTTGTTTTAGTACTGTGGCTCATTGAAGGTAGTGATCAAGACGCCAGACCAAAATGCATTGTGGGAAGCTATTAGTAGCATACTTTGTTTCCTTGACTGAACAATTTATATAATATGTAGTGTTAAGATTGGGTTTAATTTGAAAACGAAAACAAGTGTTAGGAAGCCAATATCTGTTTCATTTGTTCTTTTTTTAATTTCTGCTAAAAATTATATTACAGGAGTAGGAATGCTTTGTAATTTCATAAAGTGGTGTTACCCATGTTTATCTTTTCTCCTTCCATTTGCGCAGCTGTTCTTGACGTGATCCTAAGCTGGAAAGCACAACGGAGTATGTCGCTGTATGTTAAGCTAAGATACATTCTAAAAGTTGTTTCAGCTGCAGCATGGGTGGTTGTTCTGTCTGTTACTTATGCGTATACTTGGGATAATCCTCCTGGGTTTGCTCAAACCATTAAAAGTTGGTTTGGAAGTAATGGTTCAAGTGCCCCTTCATTGTTTATTTTGGCTGTTGTTGTTTATCTGTCACCAAATATGCTTGCTGCGATATTCTTTCTGATCCCATTTATTCGTCGTCATCTCGAAAGGTCAAACTATAGGGTTGTAATGCTAATGTTATGGTGGTCACAGGTAGGTCATAATCCATTCAATTTTTTACTATATTTTTCTGTTTGTAAGAACTGTTGTGTCATTATTGAGACATTAATATTCTGATAACTTGGTGTTTTTGATGCCCTATATTTAATGCCAGCCTCGTCTGTATGTTGGTAGGGGAATGCATGAAAGCGCATTTTCCCTTTTCAAGTAAGAATGTGTGTTCAATAGTTTCTATTGTATTTGAATGGTATAGGTACAATATTCCTAGCATCTGATATTAATTTGTCAACGTTTTTAATGTCAGGTACACAATGTTTTGGGTTCTTCTCATAATTACAAAGTTGGCTTTCAGTTACTATATTGAGGTGATGCGTTTTAACTTTCTATCTCTTAGTATAAACTATCATTTCTTTCAGATGTCGCTGACAGTCATTTTGATATTTACTTGTTCTTACTCTCTATTGCATCAATGAAGCATTACAGGGCAATAACTTTACCTTGTATCTTTAAGCTAGTCAATTATTTTTCTTTTCTTTCTTTTCTTTAGGAGGTTCTCTTATCCTCCAGCTTCAGATCTTTGCCTTTTTGTCTTGATCGATCTTCTTTTTTCATCATTTTTTTTTACTTGTTTTAACCTTCTTCCATCCTTTCATAGATAAAACCTCTTGTTGGACCTACAAAAGCTATAATGAGTGTAAAAATCACAACTTTCCAGTGGCATGAATTCTTTCCTCATGGTAGTAAGCTTGAATGTTAATATTTTCATATTAGTTCACTTTTTCAGAGAAATTTGTAAGTTGTTTGTGGGTTTTGCAGCTAGGAACAATATTGGTGTTGTAATTGCACTTTGGTCTCCAATTATCCTGGTATGGGTTTGTGATGTACTTCATTTATATCTTATTTTAAACATCAGTATTATAATTGTATATCTTTTTATTTTGTCAGGTATACTTCATGGATACCCAAATTTGGTATGCCATATTCTCAACATTATTTGGTGGTATTTATGGTGCCTTTCGTCGGCTTGGGGAGGTTAGTATGTTGTCCATATTCCTATTGTGTGTTACTTTTTCATGTTAATTCATTGTTTTATCTTTTACGGTATACTTTGGCGAGAAATCTAACTTGAAGATAAAGTTGCTTTAATAGATATGGTTATTCTTATTCCTTCCCTTGCTTGGGATCACTAGTTATAGTTCCATTACATATATCTGCAAACGGCTGGATCTTAATGATTACCAACTAACTTTTGGTTGCTGTCAATTGGCTGTAGATGCCTAATTATGGGCTTGGACCTTTGTTTTTAATTAACTTACAGAGCTATAACTATTGAGTAGTTATTGGATTTTATGCCTAGAACACTGGTTCATGAATATAATATGTATTTCTTTTAAATAATAATTCTTGTGCATCACTGCTTATCCTGATATCAGATACGGACACTAGGAATGCTAAGGTCTCGTTTTCAATCCTTGCCTGGTGCCTTCAATGCCAGTTTGATTCCGGAAGAAACAAGCGAGCCAAAGAAAAAAGGATTAAAAGCCACTTTGTCACGCAGATTTCCTGACGTTAGTTGTTTTACTTTTATTGGGCTTAGAGCTTGAATTTTAAAATTTGAGCATCTATAACTTTGGATTACAATACTTCGATTGATACAGATCTCATCTAACAAAGGGAAGGAGGCTGCAAGGTTTGCACAATTGTGGAACCAAATAATTACTAGTTTCAGGGACGAAGATCTTATTAGTGATAGGTAATGTGAGGGATAATTCATGTTTCTGGTTCCTGATCTACTTTATCTCTTATTCAATCAATCAATCAGTCAATCGAACAATGGACTACTGTATCTTCATACACTATAAGTGTTGAGGTGGTTGTATTTCTTAGGGAAATGGACCTTTTGCTTGTACCTTATTGGGCTGATACTCAGTTGGACCTTATACAGTGGCCCCCCTTTCTACTTGCTAGCAAGGTTTGTTTATTTTCACTTTGATGGATTTTGCTACTATCATTTCCATCTAATCATTCAGTAATTGTGCGTGTGGCCATGTGCTCTTTAGATACCAATTGCACTAGATATGGCTAAGGATAGCAATGGAAAGGACCGAGAGCTAAAGAAAAGAATTGGAGCTGACAACTACATGTCTTGTGCTGTCCGTGAGTGCTATGCTTCATTTAAGAGCATTATTAAGCATTTGGTTCAAGGGGAACGAGAGACACGGTAAGTAGTTACACTTTGTGAATGTTAGTCCTGTGTAATATTCCCACCTAGCTTCAAATTTAACTATTTCTCGGCCGATTGAAAAGAGGCTGTATATCATTTTTTTCTGTAAGCTTATCACTTTGATGATGCATTTTTCAAGTTCAAACTAACTTCTGAACAGTTCTGTTCTGTCTATCCTTTTTTTTTTTCTTAACTTTGTTGATTGTTTTCATTTCAGGGTTATAGAGTACATGTTCGATGAAGTGGATAAACATATAGAATCAGATAAACTGATTATTGAATTCAGAATGAGTGCACTTCCTAGCCTCTATGCAAAGTTTGTTCAGCTTATAGAATATTTGGTAAGGCTTCAGAACTATTTCATGCAATTTTTGTACATTTAGTTTCCCTTTAACAGTTTAGTATGGTTGCCAAATCTTACCCTTACTTAGTTATTTAAAATTATTGCAGCTGGCAAATGATCCAAAAGATAGGGACCAAGTTGTGATTCTATTCCAGGACATGCTGGAGGTTGTGACGAGAGATATAATGATGGAGGATCAGGATCAAATATTCAGGTGATATAGATGTAGATTGTTGTTTCTACTAGTACTCGTTTTGTTGTTTGTTCATTTAGAAAATAAGCACATCATACTCTTAGTTTTAACATAGAAGTTAGTATTTCAAGCTTCTAATTTTCATGCCAAATTGTATAGTTCACTCTTTTTCTAGGAATAGACATGGTTTATCAGATATAGGTTCATTTGATGTTTTGTCATGAGTTTTGGTATAGTCCCTTCATGTGATGTTTTTATGTATTACTCTTTTATTAATAAATTTTTGGCATGATCTAAATGATCTGTTTGCATGGAGGTACAACGTAGTTGGGATGTCCACTTACATAGTGATGCATTATATGTCAGTGTATATTAAAAAAGGTTATAATTTTCATGTATTTGATGCACATCTTGGCTTTCAATCGCAAAACCGAACACATGCCACATCTTTTAATAACTCCCTCTTCCCTCCCCTGATTATGATTGTACCAATATTGTTTCAGTTTGGTAGATTCAACCCATGGTGGTACTGGACATGAGGGGATGCTTCAGCTTGAGCCTGAGCCACATCACCAATTGTTTGCATCTGAAGGAGCTATCAAGTTTCCAATTGAACCAGTTACAGCAGCTTGGACAGAGAAGGTTTGTTACTAATTAAATTATTCAGCTAAAAGTTTAAATGAAGTTCTTTTTAATGACGTGTTTACCATGTTTGGTTTAGATTAAACGACTTTACTTGCTGCTTACGACAAAAGAATCAGCCATGGATGTACCATCTAACTTGGAAGCAAGAAGGCGGATTTCTTTCTTCTCAAATTCATTGTTTATGGATATGCCTATGGCACCAAAAGTTCGCAACATGCTTTCATTCTCGTAAGCTACCAAATTATTTGCGATGCTTTGTTGTAATTTTTATTCCAGTCTACGTAAAATATTGCATAAATCTCCCCTCCCCTCTTAACATGCAATTTCCATTATCTTAATCAGTTCCTTCCCCTGCATTATTGACCGGAGATTCAAAGTTCTTGAATTTTATTAAATTTTAAAAGTATGCACAACCAAATTTACTCTTCAGTTTGGTATGATACATGAGATTTTTATTTTATAGATGATATAAACCCATGGCACAAGGACTGATTTACGATCTTTAGGGTTAGAACCTTGTAGGAAATTTAGAAAATTAGTGAGGAGGTGGAATGAAAAGTGATGAAAATTCCAGGATTGAGCAGAATTTTTGAAACGTCTATATCTCGAGCTATAGAACCCCAATTGAAGTGATTTCAAAATGAAGTGAACGTTCTCATTTTGAACTTCAATTTAGGCTAAAAAATCACTCAATTTGGGCGAGTAGAACGAGAGTTATGATCACGAGATAAATCTGGTCAGAATTTGAGTTTTCTAAATTCTGATGAAGAAAAAACAATCACTCAAGAACTTAGAGGAATCACTCTCACTAAGATAAAAGAGTTAAACTCTAATATTTCTGAATAAAATTCAACTTGTTTTCTTGATAAAAATGGTTCAGTTTATATAATAGTTTTGTCATCAGAATTACAAGGATTCAATAAAGGAAAATACATTCATCTTAAAGTTAATAATGATCCATTAACCTAGAAAATGAAAATTACTTAATGGATGATTGTGACTGAAATTGTGGCAAACAAAAGTCACCTAAAAACAATCAGCAATGCGTCCTTTTGGTCTTTCAATACCTAAGTTGCCAATTGGTCCCTTATTACAACTTGAAATAAAATCAAACTAAAGTCTATTAATTGATTTACCCAAAACATAAATTATTTAGCCAATTTTACAATGAATTGGACCATTATTTAAACAAACTAATCACTTAAAAATTGAAGCAAAGTGGTGCATTTTGTCCATGATACAACTCACAACTTTGGTCTTTTCCCTTGAAACTTGAGCTTGTATTCAAATAATATGGACAACACTTATTGAAGAGCTTCTTTTGCTTTCTTTGTTCTAACCCTTGTTATAGGTCCTCTAAGTCCTTCAAGTGGATCCTTGTCATTGCTCATGGTCATGTACCCATCAGTTGAGAACTTTCATGTAGTTGGTAAAGCTTATGGACTATTGTAATGTTGCAAATGAAAGACTTGATACAATTGAATGATTAGTTCAGGTTTCTCAAAGCTGTTCTCAAGGGTAATATTTTTCGGGTGGAGTGTTAGGAACACCCTTTCTTATTGATTAAAATTTTTGAAAACTACAAAATCAGGAGAGATAGTCATTAAATAAGTTGTGGTGCCCATCAAATTTGGTGATTTTTCAATAAAGTTCAACCAATGAGAGAATATGTTCAAAAGATTGTGTTAGAGAGCGTGTTCATAGTAATTGTCTTTTTAGGAGAATTAAGATAGAAGATTGTCTTTTTAGGAGAATTAAGATAGAAGAAAAAACGTTCGGTTCTCTATATAAGAAACAAATTGGAGTAAATTTTTGGTTCTAATCATAAGAAACATAGTACCACTTTCAAATTAATTACTTGATAACTTTATCTTATATCTTTAAATTATTAATAGTCTACTAATGAAATATCTACTCATTTACCATGAAAGTGGAGGCATTTATTAGGCTATTAACAATATAAATCATATTCATCAGTGGAGAAAATATTCCATAAATTGTGTGTAGTGTCATTAAATATAATCATTGTGCTTAAACTCTTTCCTTTCCTTGTCGGATATTTTTAGAATGAAATTTAAAATATATGACAGTATTAGTTAAAATGAACTAAGTTAACTATTTCCATTGGTTTCGATGAATTAGATATTTGTTTCTTATATACAGCACACGAGGTAGTATTCTCTAAGTGTTTGACTAAAATCTACAGAATTTTATTTTCTAATATATCTACTTGAAATTATCTCCATATAAATATATTAGTATATTAATTATATGTGCTAAGCATTGTTTAAAATGATTTTATTATTCAGTTTTGGTGTATTTACATCTTTATTGTTATTTTTTGGTTATTGTGGATTTTTTTTATAGGGTTTTGACACCATACTATACAGAAGAAGTTCTGTTCTCCATACATGATTTGGATTCTCCGAATGAGGATGGTGTTTCCATACTCTTCTACTTGCAAAAGATTTTTCCTGGTTTACCACTCTCCTAAATCTCCTTTTTATTTGCGTTTATAGGAAAAATCCATTAGTATATCTAATGTTTGTTGCTGCCTTTTGGGTTATCAATGCACAGATGAGTGGAACAATTTTCTTGAGCGTGTGAAGTCTACTGAGGAGGATATTAAAGGGAGTGAATCTGATGAGTTAGTGGAAGATCTTCGGCTTTGGGCATCGTATAGAGGGCAAACATTGACCAGAACTGGTTCGCACTCTCTCTCACCCCCTCCCTGTGCATGCCTACATAATTTCAAGTGCATGCTGTTAATTTCCTTTTTCATCATAAATAAATTGTTCTCTCTTCATGATTGATTAAATACGATCACAGTTGCAAAAATTAGGACACCAAATTAATGAGACAAGGTTTACAAACTTCTTTAATACATTATATAATGCCATTGCAAGTTCTCTTTCATGTACACAATGGTTCATTCATTTGTCATCATCGATAGTTATTTTATTGAAACCAATGTATTCAATAAATCAATAGAAGATTAACCCTTAGAAATAACAAAAATTAGTATCAGTCACATATTTACTATTTACCTATATGCAATCATGTTGTAGCCTCAGGTTAGAATGTAATGTGTCATTGCAACTGACTTATATCAAATTCTAATTAATGCAGTAAGAGGTATGATGTATTATAGAAAAGCTCTGGAACTGCAGGCTTTTCTTGATATGGCTAAAGATGAAGGTAAGTGCTCCTTCTCTTGGGAATGGTCAGAGATATTTCTTTATTTGTATGCACTCATTTTATTAGGTATTTTAAACATGCAGCTCTAAGTTTTGTCTTTTTTTTTTTTTGGGGGGGGGGTTTATGGCTCTAATGTTACAAATGGGCAGACTTGATGGAAGGTTATAAAGCCATAGAAAACACAGATGACAATTCTAGGGGGGAAAGGTCATTGTGGACACAATGCCAAGCAGTAGCTGATATGAAATTCACATATGTGGTATCGTGCCAACAATATGGCATTGACAAGCGGTCTGGTTCTGCACGTGCACAGGACATATTAAGGCTTATGACAAGGTAAGAATTGGAGCTTCAGTAATTTTGAGTTTCTTTTTTCCTTAAAAGTAGAAGCTCTTACAAAAGTTGAGGTATAAAGAAAAAAAAAAAAAAAACTTCTACAGAAGTTAGTTTTGGTAGCTTTTGCTTTTTCTATTCCATATATCCCCAAGATCCATCCCCATGAACAAACCGCCCAAGAACTTTTTAACTTGCTAGTAACTTAAAAACTAAACATTCATAAAATTACTGAAATATTGACTTTATTTTAAATACAAAGTAATTTTTAATATTTAAAACCGGGTCAAGAACAAGTGCAATGCATGGGCTAAAAAGAGATTTCTCATTGAGGGTGTGTTTAGTAGAGAATAGAGAAATATAAAGTAAAAATGAAAGGTGCTTGGTTGATATATTTACACTTGGCAGATATCCTTCTCTTCGAGTTGCCTATATTGATGAGGTAGAGGAACCTGTCAAAGACAGTAAGAAAAAGATCAACAAGGTTTACTACTCGTGCTTGGTGAAGGCTATGCCAAAATCAAATAGTCCTTCTGAGCCTGAGCAGAATCTGGACCAGGTATTTGGATTTTGATAAATCTGTTAATTCCTTTTTCCTACTACTAATGTTTTTGTTTTGATTGGAGAAGTTTTATTAGAAGACGGTAGGGAAATTTCAACTAGATGGACAACAAGAATTTCTCTAGAATGAGGAAATATACATAGAAAAAGTAAACCTAAAAACTAGGAATGTAGCATGGTTGGACAGTTCTTCTGTATGTCAAAGATCAAATCTTTGGTTGAGCAAATTACATAATAGTATTGATAATCTTTTGATCCCATAACACATTTTGGTTGCAAGAAAAGGATGTGTTTGAAATTGGAGTCACCAATCTCAAAACATTGAGCTCTTTTTGCCTATATTTATAAACTATATATACATGAATATATCAACAGCTGTCCAGATGACTTATAACAATTTCACTTCAAACTTCTTAAACCAACACCTCAAGTTGGACATAAATATTTATCCACCTTATTTGCGGTCACTTCTTGCCACCTAAGTTGTGGGTTGTTTGGGAGATGCTTAAATTGTAAGCTCAAAGGTGGTGATTTAATCCTATATGACTTGTGGTATGATTAAAGTAGAGTATATTACTGAATTGCAAATCATACCTCACCAGAGTTATCCAAGATCCATTGTTGACTTGCTTACATTTGCCACTTGCCTGGCTGGAAGTCCTGGGTGTGAAGGGGAGTGCTGGATTGTTGCCTTAATTGCGGTTACCCCTAGTCTGCCTAAGTTGTGGCTTCTTTGGAGGGCTGATTTTGATCTAAGCTCATAAGTTTCAACTTGAATGAGAGACACAAAATAGTTTCCATGCTCTCCCCTCCTTAAACATTAGAAGTAGAAATGGCTCTTCTGCGCAACAAATTGATAATGGATGTCAATCTGCTTTATTCTCTCATGAATGTGAATTTAGTAGAAATATGCTTGTGTAGGTTGTGTTGTGAGGTTTGATTATCAACCCATACTGAGTCAGATGTTAATACATACGAGTCAGTGAAACCATATTGTACTACATAAGAAAAATACAACTAATCACAACTGCATGCAAAGATCATTATGGGATCTCAATCTTTTCATTCTTATATTTAAATCTTTTTTCACACACACACATAAACCTGTCCCACCCTTGGCCCATGCAGGATGGGCCCAGCCTGTTGCACATTTTTTTTTAATATGGTTTGGCGGGCCAGCCCACATGATCCAGTCAACATTGCCACCCCTACTATTGTATATAAACATAAATAATCTTTCCTATAAAAGTAACATATGTTTCTGTTTTAGTTTATTCAGGATAGTTAGAAACAATGGCAGCCCTCTTTTTTTTCTTTTTTAACTCAACATTGGAATAATATTGAATACACTCTGAATAAATATACAATTGTTGTTTTATTTAATTGTAAGAAAAAAATGTTTGAACTATTTCTATATAACTAAATGCAATTCTTAACTGTTTTCTAAACTATCCTTCACTTTCCTTATAATATACTCTATTTGATTATTTCATTCAGATTATATATAAAATAAAGCTTCCTGGACCAGCAATATTGGGTGAGGGTAAGCCTGAAAATCAGAATCATGCCATAATTTTCACACGTGGAGAGGGCTTGCAAACAATAGATATGAACCAGGTATGAGGGTCAGATAAGAAGTGCTCATCAATGTAAGGTCTCTTCAGGCCCTGTGATTAAGTTGCATCTTTTATAGGATAACTACATGGAAGAAGCCTTGAAAATGAGAAATTTGTTGCAAGAGTTTCTTAAAAAGCATGATGGTGTTCGGTTTCCTAGTATCCTTGGACTTAGGGAGCATATATTTACGGGAAGGTAAATCTGTGTTGGTCTATTTGCAACTAGACATGTTTTTATGTATCTAACTATTGTCTGGCTCTGGCTCCAGTGTTTCTTCCCTTGCTTGGTTCATGTCAAATCAGGAGACAAGTTTCGTGACAATTGGTCAGAGATTGTTGGCTAATCCTTTGAAGTAAGTTGTTATATTCTACTGGTTATTTATTTCAGGTGCAGGATAATATGAACAGAATTTTGGAATAAATGCACTTCTAAGTTTTTCACAAGAGAATTGCTGATTCCATTGAGGAAGGAGAGCAAATTCTTAAAAGTAAATAGAAAAGGAAGATAGCGCTCGATTCCATTATGTCTAAATTGTTTTTTTTCTTGCTCTACTTATGTAGGGTTCGTTTCCATTATGGTCACCCTGATGTCTTTGATAGACTTTTTCACCTGACAAGAGGGGGTGTGAGTAAAGCCTCCAAGGTTATCAATCTAAGTGAAGATATTTTTGCTGGTACTGTGTTTTCCAATTGCTCATTGTTTACTTGTGTTCGAATAATTGTATCGTTATTGGAGTTTTTCTGTTATTTTTAGGCTTCAACTCTACACTCCGGGAAGGAAATGTTACTCACCATGAGTACATACAAGTAGGGAAGGGAAGAGATGTGGGTCTCAATCAGATTTCTATGTTTGAAGCAAAAATAGCTAATGGCAATGGGGAGCAAACACTAAGTCGAGATGTGTACCGACTTGGGCATCGTTTCGACTTCTTCAGAATGTTATCTTGTTATTTCACCACCGTTGGATTTTATTTCAGCACTCTTGTATGTTATCACCGGAGTTAACATTTAATTTCATATTATGTATATTATATTGTTGAGAAATCCAATGTCGATTAGAAATATAATAACATTATAGTATATAAGTGAATACAATCCTTACCTTACCAACTCGGTTTTATAAGATTGAGTTAGGTATTCCATCATAACTCTTGAGATGTTAGGCTATTAACCATTAACAGATGTGGATTAAATCATCCATTATCAGACCAATATTGGATTATCCATCCTTAATATGAGGGAGTATGATAAAAGATCCTCCTCGATGTAAGAGGATGGGTTGAGAAATCTTACATCAATTAGAAATATGATAACATTATAATATATAAGTAAGTACAATTTACACCTTACCAAGTCTGGTTTATATGGTTGAGTTAGGTATTTCATCATTTCTAAGACATTATTATAACTTGGAAGACTCTTATTGGCATCCAAAGGGGTTGAGATATGACAGTCGGGAGGTTGAACTGCCTACCCAACTGCTGTTCCCTAATTTAGATTGAAATGAGTTAAATGGTCTAATTTTTGAAAGTTTCTATACTTTGGGTTTCTGAAATTTCTCCCCTCCAATTCTGTGCAGATAACCGTTCTCACTGTATATGTATTCCTCTATGGTCGACTTTATCTTGTTCTAAGTGGACTTGAAGAAGGTCTGAGCACTCAAAAAGCCATTCGAGACAATAAGCCTCTTCAAGTGGCTCTTGCTTCTCAGTCATTTGTTCAGATTGGGGTTTTGATGGCCCTGCCCATGTTGATGGAAATCGGTTTGGAGAGGGGCTTCCGAACTGCACTTAGTGAGTTCATACTAATGCAACTGCAGCTGGCCCCGGTATTCTTTACATTTTCACTTGGGACAAAAACTCATTATTTTGGAAGAACATTGCTTCATGGAGGTGCAAAATATAGACCCACTGGTCGAGGATTTGTGGTTTTCCATGCTAAATTTGCTGACAACTATAGACTTTACTCTCGCAGCCACTTTGTCAAGGGTATTGAACTCATGATATTGCTTGTTGTGTATCAAATTTTTGGTCATACTTACAGAAGTGCTGTGGCATATATCTTGATTACCGCATCAATGTGGTTTATGGTGGGTACCTGGCTGTTTGCTCCCTTCTTGTTCAATCCTTCTGGTTTTGAATGGCAAAAAATTGTTGATGATTGGACTGATTGGAATAAATGGATTAGTAATCGAGGGGGTATTGGTGTTCCACCTGAAAAAAGTTGGGAATCTTGGTGGGAAGAGGAGCAAGAGCATCTCCAATATTCAGGATTGCGAGGAATTGTAGTGGAGATACTGTTATCAATGCGATTTTTTATCTACCAGTACGGCTTGGTATATCACTTGAATATTACGAAGAAAGGCCAAAAGAGTTTTCTGGTAATTCTTATTCTACGTTCCCTTTTCCTGCATTTTATCTCGCTAATAATAATTTGGTAAGCTGAACGGAATGATCGATACCCTTTCTGTGGCTTACAGGTCTATGGCATTTCGTGGTTGGTGATATTTGTCATATTGTTTGTGATGAAGGTTAGTAACAAGCTATTAGAGTATCTTGTATGGGCATGTTTAATTGTATTTATATGCTGCCTTAGTATACACATTCTATTGTCTCACGGGAACCTTTGCTCGTTGAATTAACACAAACAATATTCTATTGACACAGATAATCTTGTTCTTTTTCTTGCCTGAAAAAAGTGCAAACGATACTTTTCTGTGGTCTGACGCAGTTTTCTGTTTTTCTTGTCTCAGACGGTATCTGTTGGGAGGCGTAAATTCAGTGCAAATTTTCAACTTGTCTTCCGACTAATCAAGGGAATGATATTCCTCACTTTTGTCTCGATTCTTGTCATTTTGATTGCCCTTCCGCATATGACAGTGCAGGACATTGTTGTTTGCATTCTTGCTTTCATGCCAACTGGTTGGGGAATGCTGCAGGTGAATATTTTTACACTAGTGGATTCTTGATTTTGATAGTGATAGATGAAGAATTAGGAAATTATTTGTGTATAATTTGTTTTAGTGAAGTGTGCTTTTGTTGCATTATCTGTATCTTCAACTTGTTTGTGGTTTTAATTTTTCTGTCGCTGTAATTTTATTTTGCAGATTGCTCAAGCATTAAAACCTTTAGTTCGCCGGGCTGGGTTTTGGGGATCCGTGAAAACTCTTGCTCGAGGTTATGAGATTGTGATGGGTTTGCTTTTGTTCACTCCTGTTGCTTTTCTGGCTTGGTTTCCTTTTGTTTCAGAATTTCAAACCCGTATGCTGTTCAATCAAGCATTCAGCAGAGGTTTGCAAATTTCTCGTATTCTTGGTGGCCAAAGGAAGGAGCGTTCTTCTCGCAACAAGGAATAGTTGTCTAACTCTGATGGCTTAATTCGTAGGAGTCCCAAATTCTTGGTTGTGGTATTTAGCTGCACCAAGATATTCTGTAGCAATTGTAAGTAGTTGTAACTAAGAATGACAGATTCTACGTTTTTCTCTTTCATATTATAACTGTAAGTTATCATCGTCAAATATTAAAGCTATTAAAATCCTTATATCTTGCACCCACAACAAAACAAAAGGATCGACCGAACTTTTTTTTTGTGTGATCAAGGGAGGGAGAGATGGAATAGGAGTGGACGTTCGAATGTCGAGCATACTAATTAATTCTAGTCATTATTATTAATTTCAATTTATTTTTTTACAACATACGTTCTTTAAACATGAAGATATGTTATTTCCGGTGATGGAGGCGGTGAAATTCTGAGCATTAGAAAACGAATAACAAGTCAACCACCGTCTTCGTAAACGTGACGTCTGTCACCTACAAGTCATTCTGGCTACTACTGCTTCGTTGTCTTAGGGGTATTTCTACTATATTTTCGTCCAATTTTTTTTTCTTATATCAGATTCTTTTTAAAGTTTCTGTGTCTTTTAAAGAAATGGGTAAATTGACCCAATGAGTTATGTTTAAAACAGTTAGTTCTACTTGATTCATCCTTATGAGTGAAAAATTTTATAATCTGTTTAACTATGGTTTGGAGAATTCAACTCATTGTGTTGAAGAATTACGTGGATGATTTATTTAAGATTTTATCTTATATTTTAATTATTTTTTTAAATTATTAAAATAGAAAAATTAGATAGGTTGATTTATTAAAATAGAAAAATTAGATAGGTTGATTTATTAAAATAAATGGATTAAATAAATTAGTTTATTAAAATGTTTCTCTTTTTCATAGATTTACGTGAAAAAATAAAATATTAAAAAAGGTTTAATTCATCTATCTGGCTTAAATTTGTTTAATATAGGGATTAAGTGAGTTGGATCTGTTTTAATTCACTGTTAACAAAATTCAATTAATTCAATCTAAATCTTGAGTGGGGTTGAGTTAGGGTTATAACTCCTATTAAGACCCATAATCTTATAAACCCTTTTAAGTTGATGAAAATAACGATGGTCTGATACAGAAGCCTTCTAAAAATAATTTGAAACCAAACCATCATCCCCCGAACCGTCCTTTTGTCCCTTCGCAACTAAAGCATATTTTTAAGCAATAAACTAAATGAATCATTCTTAATAGAATTGTTTTCAATTTCACTACCATGTTTAACATTGAAGAATCCCAAAATTGGGGGTTTTATTGGCATTTTGCAATAAAACCTCAGAAGATCTCCGACTAACATTACTCTGGCAGGTGGAACCATTTTTGGGCAAATAATCAACCATGTTTCCCATGAAAAAAGAGATAAGGGATAATATCGTAATTGTCTAGTGCTTAAATCTTCTCTAAAATAAAATATTATTTTAAATAATTTTATATAAATAGTTTTTATAAGTAACTTTGTTTAAAGATGTTTTAAAAGGATAAAATCATAGCATAAAATATAAAATAAAAACAGTAATAACCTACTATAGCAGGTAACAGGACATGGTGTATGGTAAACCGGTGAACCATACTGTATTGGTCCAGTAGCATCGGCCTTGAAAAATTTCAGTCAACTTCTAATCACTGAAACATTAAAAATACTAAATCTTAAATAAAACTTGTTAATGTATTTTGGTCAATAAATAGTATGTTAAAAAAAATAAAAAAAAAGAAAAATATTAAGATATCTAAGTACAAAGATAAAAGTTTAGAAACAAAGAAAAGTCATTTTAAGAGAAAAGTATTATACTTTGTTAACACTATTGATTTTCCTTTTTTGGTGGGCCCGAAGGATATTATTGTCATGTGGATAGTAGAAGACTAATTATTGGGAGACGACTGGAATAGGTTGTTTGTTTCTCTTAATGAAAGTTGGGAATTCAATCTCTCGTTGCCTACTTAACCGACCAAGCAACAATTGAACCGTACTTTCTTGGTTTATCATGTTTTTTTGTGAGTTTGATGTTTCCACTTGGAAAGTAGCGAGACAATATGGAAAGATAAAAGCAACTGGAGATAGTTCTTATTTATTAGTATTACGAAATATATGATTTTTATGATTTTGGGATGATTCCAAGCATAAAAAGAAAAAGGCCTGCAAATACACAAAAACAAAAACATTTTGATGTGAGGAAAAACAATGTCTACCGTCCTTGAATTGAAACGTTCAAATCTCAGACATGCCATGTTCACAACTCTCAAAACTCTTCTCACTCTCTCATTTGTCGCCTCTCACTTGTCCGCTGAACTCTGTGTTGCCATTTGTTATTCTTTCTTACTTTCTTTTTAATTAATCAACTTGTTTTTTTAACCTTTTTAATGTCCACACACACACACAATATATACATACATATATATATACATACATATATATATACATACATATATATATATATATATATATATATATATATATATATATATATATATATATGGCCTTTCACCAATCAACATCTCCATCATTCTCCTTAATTTGTTCATATTCTTTCATTTGTCTATTCTTTTGAGCTTTCTATGCATTGCCGGTTCTAGTATGACATGAACTGGTGGTGTTAGTTCATTCGTTCAGCTGTTGATGTTTGTTTAACAAATCTGATTCTTACGGTGTTTATATCCAAAATCAATAAATTTAAGGCAAATAACAAAACAAAACAAAAAAACTCTCAGGTAAATTGTTATTGATTTACATTGACAAACCTATAACGGGATTTGACAACATGCTTATTTGAATGTTTCATGGCTGTTCAGAGTATTCTTTTTCAGTTTCTTCTGGTTTTTAGTTGATAATTATGCTTCATTTTGAATGTTTCTGATCCTTACCTTTAATAGGGTTGGAGAGGGCATATATAAATGGCGTCATCTTTGGAGGAGCTTCTAAAAGAGGAGGGGTTCAAGGGAATCAGAAGAGTGACAAGGTCTAGATCCTCGGTCCAATATGGTGCTTCAAGTGAGCCTCTTTACTCTTTGGACGGGAGACTTTCTGTATCAAGTGAAAGAATTCGAGCTCAGAGAAAAAGGTCTGATGCCTCACGATCAAGGGATAATGTTTTTTTGAGAGACAAAGTGGATGAACGGTTGTACAATGAAGCTGAGAAGAACTCTTCTAGCTATATTGATTCAAGTAAAGGAGTTGAATCCAATACGACAGAATACATGCTAAGGCATGAGATTACTGAGGTGATTGAGCAAGAAGCTAGCAGAGTTGAAAATACTTACTCAAAAGAAGTGTCTACAAAAGAAAAGAATTTCAATGAACTTTTGGAAGACAGAAAATGGGAGGAAAAGCCTGTCAAGGATGCGAAGGAGCAAAGCAGAACTTCCAGTATAAATATGCTTAGACACTCGAGCGAAACTGGAAAGAATATAAATCCCCAGAAGGACTCGTACACTAGATATAACAGCAAGAGCTTTGAGTATAGCAGCAGGAATAAAAAAAGCAATCTGGCTGTGCAAGCAGCTTCTAGTCTTGCTCTTGATGAAGTAGCTGTCCAAGCAGTAGTTTCCATTCTAAATGGATATATAATGCGTTTTCCAAAAGATGAGGATTTTCGGTCTATATTGCACCACAGATGTTTCTCCTCCTTGAATTTTCTTGGACTGAAAGAAGAGAAAATTACTGAGACCAAAGTCATAAGAAGTCTTGAGCAAGCAATTGAGGCCATTGAACAATCTGTGGAGGAACCTGTATCTGCCATGTATCTGAAAAGAACAACGATGCAGCTTAGCATTATTACAGGTTTGAGTTTGAATGATTTGAAATACGCGTGTACACGTGGGATCCCGAATTACAAGTTGTCAGCCTGTGCTCATCTTTACCTCAGTGTGGTATATATGATGCAGAAAAAAAATAAGGTGTCAGCAAAGCATCTCTTGCAAGTGTTTTGTGAATCACCTTTTCAGGCACGGACAATATTGTTGCCTGAACTGTGGGAGCATCTATTTTCTCCACAACTTTCTCATTTGAAGGCATGGTACTTGAAGGAAGCAAGCGTTTTAGTAGATACACCAAACAAAGCAAGAGGGCTAAAACTTCTTCAAAAAGTGTACAATGAGCATTTGGATTCGGGAACTCATATATTTGCTGTATACTACAAAGATTGGCTTACTGAAGGAGTGGAATCCCCAGCAATTCCTTCAATTGGCATTCCATCAATTTCTGTCACAGGAAGTCAACAGGGAAGTTCACTTGGTCATTCTTTTGAGTCTGCTAGCTCCATTGACCCATTCTCACCACAGCCAATGGTCAGCAAGAAACTGTATGATTCTATGTTTGGTAGCCTGAGTAGACCTGTAGTTTACCAAGTCAAAGATGTTATGGATGATGGTAACCAAGGCAACTGCGTGATAGACTCTTATGGTTCAACATTTGTTAAACAGACATTAACATATGAGTCTGAAACTGTTAAACTTACAGATCAAGATGTTGAAGGTTTCTCTCAAGGTGTAGCCATTGATACAATCAAGAATGTAAGATATTTCTGTTTTCTGTATATTATTTTCCTGGGAAAATTACAAGCAAGGGTTAATTAAGTCAATAAGTTAAGTTATTATTTATTACCATTCTTTGAACATGATTAATTTTTCCTTAACTAAAAAACAATTTAACCATAAATTCCTTTTGGTAGTCATCTCTCCCCTGTTTTCATCATCTCCTTTGATCTGCATTACTATAGTAGAACACTCTTTTAAGACATTAACACGAGTCCTCTTCAGTACATGATATGCAAAAGTCTGAATTGTATATTTCTGAAATTGTATTTGGTCAATTTTACCTTTGTAGATTTGGAGTCGTATAGGTTGGGGAGTGAATCACTGTATATGATTTATAAAATTTGTTTTATGCTTTGAGTGTCATTAACTTAGGCGTTTTCATTCTTGCTTTACATCTCGCTTATGTTTATATTATCAATGATATGTGGCAGCTCAAAGGAAATTCAGTGATAGCTGCAGAAGAATGGCAGGAAAGGAATCTCAGTGATGACATTAATAACTCTTTCTCTAAGCAAACTAATTTAAACAGTCACATTACTGATGCCCTACCACATGAAAAAGCAAATGAACTTGATCTCAAAAAGGTGCAACATCTGTTTTAGAAATGTGAATGTAGTGGTTCTGACTTTATACATTTGATATCCTTTCAGTCTCACTACTATTTCACTGTCTATGTAGTGTTTACGACTTTATAAGACTGATATCCTTCTCTAATTTATAATTTTTCACCTGCAGCCAAATAAGTCAAGTTCTTCTCTTCAAGGTTAGAAAAATCACATGTTTGATTGATGTAACTTCCTTCAGATAACATATTCTATTATTAATTATTGGATTGTACATGAAAATATTGGTGCAGGATCATATTTTCCAAGCACTCCAGAGGAGTTTATTTGTTCTCTTACTGGAAATCTCTTTGAGGAACCAGTCACCCTAGAGACAGGTCAAACCTTTGAGAGAAAGGCCATCAAAGCATGGTTTGAAGAGGGAAACAGAACGTGCCCGGTAACAGGAAATGCTTTGGAATGCGTGACCATGCCGTTTACCAACCTTATCTTGAAGCGTCTGATTGATAATTGGAAGTCAGAATGTTTTGATTACCTTCTTGATCTTGCTTCCCAAAGAGTGGAGAAATCAGAGGAGCTTAAGTTGAAAAAGTGGGATGAGACTGCTGTATTCAAGTTAGAGAGGCTTTTCTCCTCTTTGAAAGAAGAGGAGAAATCAACTTATGCTAAGCATCTCATCTCTTTAGGAGTTCTTCCATTTCTTTTTAAGAGGTTTGAACAAGGAAATGTGGAAGAAAAATCACAAGTGATTTCTCTCTTGCTCAATTGTATTCAAGTAGACTCTGGTTGCATATATACGATAGCAAGGAGTGTTAACAGAAAATGTCTTCTCGATCTTCTTCACAGCAAGGAGGTTACCCCAACAACTAATGCAATACTATTCCTTACTGAACTTTTATCAATGAAAAGGTGAACCTTATCAATTTTTTATATTGGATTACATAAGATTGATTTATATAGCCTAGTGCACATACTGGTCAACCATCATCCTTTCTACAGCTTTAAAATTGTTTTCCTTACTCATACTCTTCACCCAAAATTATTTTTAATGTAATTGGATACCATTTCGATGATATAAACTTCAACTCTTCAGTCTAAACTTTTCTGGATTACAGCAAAAATAGTCTGCAGCAATCTTACATGTTAAAAATAGGTTGGACATTAACTGTCTGAGAGGAAATGGGCGTTCTAGTGTAAAAATTATATAGACTTATTTATTTGAGAAGTGGATATTACCTCGTGTTTAAAATGTTGAATGAAGATCTAAAATTGGATATATAACTCTGAACATGCTTCCCAAGTTATAAACTCACTGTCTTGTGAAGCGGACTGAGTACAAACTTTGAACAACATTGGCTTAAGGTAAGCACTATTTTATGCTAAAAGTCGTTTAAAAGACTAAAGACAGCTAGCATGGACAATTTAAACCGCTTGAATAACATTGCTTTATATAGTTAAAAGATTCTATTACGGTTTTTATAACTAATATGATAATTTTGGCTAGTTGCTTATCAGCATATTCTAGATATTATAAATTTCCAGACAAAATTGTTACAAGGACAACTAATATCTAAGATCCTTGAATTATTAATTACTCGGCTACTTTTTTGTAGGAGAAAGGATGTTACTTCATTCATAAGTGGCTTGGCGGGTGAAAAAGTATTTAATATAATGCATATTCTGCTCATGTATCTCAAGAATTCTTCTCCATTTGAAAAGCCCCTAATTGCTGTCCTTTTGTTGCACTTTGATCTGCTGGTATGCTCAAGTAACGTTGAAAATGTTACCCCAGTGTTCCTAGTCTAATCGTTTCATGCTTATTCTTTTGTATCATCATTAGAAATATTCTCAGCTGGTTTAACATAAAAGGTGAATGAGGCAATCTAACAGATCTAACAAATGACTCCTCTAAATTGACAGGTGAACTTTAGAAGGTAAAGTGAAGAGTTATTACCATCCACTGAAAAATCAATGGCTTTAGTTTCTTAAATATTACATGTGTGTACGTGTATTTTATGACAATTACTCAATCTTAACTGCAGAATTTCCAACCAAAGGCTTATAACTCTATGCACTTTGCCCTCTAAAGCACACCCCCTTCTTGACATTTTCTAGTGTATCATGTTAACTGAAGGAATCGTGTGGCAAGCACTTATCAAAACTCCCCTTATTTCATACTATTGTTGTATTTGTTGATAATATTACTTTATTATCTTTTATTTAAATTAGGTATTTAAAGATTTTATTATCTTTTAATAGAGAAAATAAAAAGATATTAGGTTATTATTTTGATTTAGGCAGTTATAATTGAGATATTATTGATATTTGATATTTTGTAATATTTTTACTCTATATACATATAGAGTACATGAATAGAAATATACCCACATGATATATCAAAAATACACATATACAAAACCCTAAAAATTCTCAACAAATTGGTATCAGAGCTTTGGTTCGACACAATGGAAGGAAAAAGAAATTTTTCACAAGTCGTTATTCCAGTTTTTGACGACGAAAGTTATGACTTATGGGCTGTGAGAATGCAATCCTATCTTGAAGGATTGGATGAATGGGAAGCTGTAGAAGAAGATTATATTGTTGATCCACTACCTGAAAATTCCACCATAGCTGAAATGAAATTTCACAGAGAAAGAAAAACGAGAAAGGAAAAAGCTAAATCATGTCTGTTTGTTGGTGTTTCACAAATGATCCTCATCAGAATCATGACGCTAAAGTCACCCAAAGAAATTCGAGATTATTTGAAAGATCAATATGAAAGGGATGAGAAAATTCGAGGTATGAAAGTTCTAAACTTGATAAGGAAATTTGAGATACAAAAAGATGCAAGAGTCTCAAACAATTAATGAATACTCAAACAAATTGTTGGGTATTGCTAACAAAATAAAATTGTTAGGCAAAGAATTTTCTGATTCTAGAATAGTTGAGAAAATTCTGGTAACTGTGCTAGAGAGATATGAAGCATCTATTGCTTCACTGGAAAACACAAAAGATTTGTCTAATATTACTTTGACAGAAGTACTACATGCTTTAGAAGCGCAAGAACAACGAAGATTGATGAGAGGAGATTATGCTGCTAGTAAAGGTTCTTTACTATATCATGATGGAGGTTCTCTCCAAGCCAAGAACAACAAAGGTACAAAATCACAAGTATTTTCTGTTTGTCCTTATTGCAAGAAAAATAATCAAACACCCAACAAGTGTTGGGGGAGAACTGATGTGAAATGTCACAAATGTGGTCAATTGGGACATATAGAAAAGATATGCAAATCACAACCAGAGGAAGTCGTTCAAGTTATAGAGGATAGGGTAGAAGAGATACTTCTCCTTGCATCAACCTGCTCTACAATCAGCAAATCCACAGGTTGACTTATAGACAATGGTTGTACAAACCACATGACTCATGATCGAGAATTTTTCAAAGAGCATAACGAATCACCTATTTCTAAAGTGAGAATCGGTAATGGAGAACAAATGAACCTGAAAGGTACAAAAGTCATTCGGGTATCAAATTAATTTTTGATGTTTTATATGTTCCTGATATTAATCATAATTTGTTAAGTGTTGCTCAATTATTGGAAAAAATTTATAAGGTGTCTTTTGAACACAAATTTTGTGTGATTAAAGATACAAATAACTTGGAAATATTCAAAGTTCGCATGAAAGGAAAAAGTTTCACTTTAGATCTGATAAAAGAAGAGTTGATTACAAATGAAGATATAAAAGAAAAGTCAAAGGAAAAAGCATGAAGAAGATTTCTTGAAGGAACTTGATGTTAAGGAGGAAAATAAATATGTAGATGAAGAAATCATTTCAAACTTTCATTAAAGAGTCAACAAGTACTACCATGAAGTTTGAAAGAAACAAAGGAGATGCAGTTGATAAAGGAAGAAATACTTTGATGAAGAAAATGAAGTTAAACGAAGATGTGATCTCATACAAAAAGGAAGATGACAAGAAGTACAAACAAAGAAGGAGGAAAAATTATAAGCAAAATAAAAGAAAAAATATCAAATTCAAATAAATAGATATTAAAGTAAGGAGGAATGTTGAGAATATTACTTTATTATCTTTTATTTAAATTAGGTATTAAGAGATTTTATTATCTTTTAAGAGAGAAGATAAAAAGATATTAGGTTATTATTTTGATTTAGACCGTTATAATTGAGATATTATTGATATTTGATATTTTGTAATATTTTCACTCTATATATACATAGAGTACATGAATAGAAATATACTCCTATAATATATCAGAAATATACATGTACAAAATCCTAAAAATTCTCAACAAAATCCTAAAAATTCTCAATAGTAGTGAACTAATTCTAGAAATTAGATTAGGAAAAGTAACGAACAATTTTCAGTTCTACCGATTAGTTTCTTGCCTCTAAATATTGACATATATAATTGTAGTTGATAACAACATATTGCAGGTTGTGCATTTACTTGTAAAATGATTACCTATTATTACTTGTAACGTTAATTTGTGTCTGGAAATTCGCCAATTCATCTTGTTTTTCAGTGCATTTAGGTGATGCTGCTGCATTTGAACATCTCTATATCTTCCCTAGGAGAAAAATGAAAAAAGAAAAGACTCAAATGTTTACAATATAACAATCACTTGAAACAAGAGCATAGCAGTTCATGCCTACGCTCCTTATTCAATATGCTTACAATTGCTTTGAATATGCGATCCTAACCTAACCCAAAATTTTGCCATTTGCTTCATTATCAACCTTTGTTTTTCAGTGGAAATAGATTAGGGTGGTGATATTTTGACAACCATAAATTATACAACCCTTCAAACAACTCACTTTTATTAATATAATAATCTATTGAATGATTTAATAAAAATAAAAATAAATTAAAACTATTATTATAATATTAAAAGAGAGTTGTATCCAGGAGTTGTATGGATTTGGGTTGTCAAAGTATCATTTTTCTGTACATTTGGCGCGAACATGGAATTGTCTGTACAATATTTAAAAACCAAACGCCTTCAAAGTTCCCTCCAATATTTTGCCCTCTTCTGATCTCTTTTGTATATAATTTTTTCGTAAATTAAGTGATAAATGAAATTCAGTTTCTTCCTTGCACACTAATAGACTAGAGCAAGTTTGCATTGCAGGTTGAGCCTCAAATGTTTAGCATATACAGAGAGGTGGCTGTGAATTCCATTGCAGAGGCACTTGATAGCAGCTTAAAAGACGGGAAGGCCCGAAAAAAGTGTTGCAGAGCACTTTTAATCTTGTGTGGGCATTTTTCTTCTACTGGAAAGATACCAACAAAGACTAGCATCTTAAAACAAGCAGGTTATGATCATGATAGCTTAGAAGTGAAACTTCCTGGCCAGCAAGAAGAGGGCCAACAGTCAGAAGTAACCATTTCATTGGTAAGTGTCATCATTTGAAGGGTAAGACAAGAGATTGTTTATTCTTGTGTATACCTGATACAATCTCTTAGCATGTGTTTAATAATACTAATATTTATTGAATTTTCCAATATAGACAAAGCAAGTCCTTTAACATTAAAACGACACTCAAGAATATGTATAGACGTCTTCAAATTGAAAAAAAATAAAATAAAATAAAAATCTAATGTTTAACATTTTACACTAGTTAGTCACCAGTCTAGTGCGTTAATGAACATTTTTGTAGATTTAATGCGTCACTAATGTATATTGGCTGATGAATCAATAAAAATCATAGGAAGATGAAGCCAAAAGAGGTGAAGAGTTTCTAAAGAAGCTGTTGGAGTCGTTGATTGGTGATGGAGAAAGCCCATTTTTGAAGAGTATATCTAGATGTTTAGATTGTAAGCACCTAGATTTGGTGAGGGCATGTCTAATGATTGTGACATGGTTGAGCTCTTCACTTTCCACACTATATGGTGCTGGCTTGCATCTTCCCGCCTTCTTATCCATCATTTCTCAGTTGAAAGGAATTTTGGAAAATGGAGAACTTGAGCTCAAGACTCTTGCTTCTTTGTCTTTGCTTAATTTCAGTAAAATATCAGGTTCGCCATCTTCTGCACCCTTTTTTTTTTTGTTGTTTAAAATCTTGACATTTTTGGAAATTATTGAAGACAGATACGTTTTAGATGTTAAAGGGAGAAAATGCATAAACTTGAGACAAAACTATCGAAGTCCACTTCCAATTATCATACTTTCTGTTAGATAATCTTAAATTACGAATTTAGTATGAATATGTAGTTATTTGGTTAGTTTGTTTTGATGGGTTGCTGAGATATCGCAGTAAAATTTTGTTCCGCGGTTAGATATTTGTTAAGAGGTTATTTTCTTGTTAATCTGGTACATTGTACATGGTTATTTAAACTCATCTCAGTCAAATAAAAATATACAGTGAGTTGCTACGTTCACACAATATATTAGTGTTTTTCGTCTTTTAGCTCGTACAAAGTGGTATCAGAGCTTTATGCTCTGAGTACTGAGTGTGAGAGAAAAAACAGAGTGCGCCTGTGTGCGTTTAAAAAAAAGAGAGAGTAATGGCGAAGGTAGTTAATGGAATGACCGTACCACAACTGTCAAAGAAAACCAATTATGATAATTGGTGTTTACAGATGAAGACTCTGTTCGGTTCCCAAAGTCTATGGGACATAGTAGAGAAGGGGTTCCGAGAACCCGAGGAGGACGAAGACCAATCTGTGGCTTAGATTGCCAAATTGGAAAAGACACGAGTGAAGGATAAATCAACTTTGTATTTTTTGTACAATGCTGTGGATGAATCGGGTTTCGAGAAGATTGCAAACGCTGCGTCTTCAAAGGAAGCATGGGAGATTTTGGAGGTTGCGCATAGAGGTAACCACCGTGTCAGACAGATCCGACTTCAAACTCTCCGAGGAGAGTTTGAATGTTTGAAGATGGAAGATAAGGAGCAAGTATCCGAGTATATAACTCGGGTGGAGAAGGTGGCTAACCAACTCGGAAGGAATGGGGAACCAATGCCAGCAAATAGGATTGTGGAGAAAATCTTGAGATCATTAACAGATGATTTCGAGAGTATTGCATGCGCAATTGAGGAGTCAAAGGACTTGTCAATTCTCTCAGTAGAAGAGCTTACTGGGTCACTCGAGGCCCACGAACAAAGGAGGAGGAAGAAGGAGGATACTCTTGTTCAAGCATTACAAGCGAAACTTGATTCGAATGGAACTCAGAACACTCAGGGCCAAGGATCCGAAGGCCAAGGACGAGGTAATCAAAGGCGAGGTGGACGTGGCCGAGGTAATCAAGGACGAGGTGGACGTGGCCGAAGTGATCATGGAGAACGAGGTAATCATGAAGGTAGACAAGGACGAGGTAATCATAGCCAAGGAAGTCAACCAAAGTCGGAGGTGGAATGCTATAAGTGTGGCAAGCACGGCCACTACGCAAAGGAATGCAGATCGGCAAATTGCTACAACTGTGGCAAATACGGTCACATAGCAAAGTATTGTCGAGCTGAAAGCCAAGGTGAAAAGAAAGAGAAGAACCTTCTCACAGAAGAAGAGGACGAGGAAGTAGGAATTTTGATGATGACGCAGAGCTCGGAGACCAAGCTACGTCCGAGTTATGCCTCCGAGGTTGAACTAAACTTAAGTTGCGTGGAAAAGTCTGATGAGAAGTTAAAGTCCAAGCTTGATTCGGGTTGCTTAAACAACTCAGTCTGGTATTTGGACACTGGAGCGAGCAATCATATGTGTGGAGAAGAGAGTTTCTTTAATGAACTCACTAAGGTGAATGTTGGATTCGTGTCATTTGGGGATGATTCCAAGGTGGCTGTAAAAGGGCGTGGAACCATCAAGCATATGCAGAAAGATGGACGAGTTGGAGAAATAAGGGATGTCTACTACGTTCCCGAGCTTAAGAGCAACATATTAAGCATGGGACAGATGATAGAGAAAGGCAACTCGGTTCTGATGAAGGATCAAGTACTCTATTTGAAAGACAAGCATGATCGGTTAGTAGCCCGGGTAGAAATGAAGAAAAATCGAATGTATAAACTAGAGCTGAACATCCTGCAGAAAAGGTGTTTGAAGTTGGACGTGAAGGATGAAACAATGATGTAGTATTTTCGATTTGGGCACTTAAATTTTGGAGGCCTGGCCGAACTGTCAAGGAAGGAACTAGTACTTGGACTACATGGCGTAGAGTTTGAAAAGAAGTTTTGTGAAGAGTGTGTGCTCGGAAAACACCCGAGGACTAGTTTTCCAAATTTGACCAGGTACAGGACAGAAGAGCAACTCGACCTAATACACACCGACTTGTGTGGACCAATTTCTCCTAGTTCATTTAGTGGTAAGAAATATTTTATTTTATTCATAGACGACTTCTCTCGGAAAGCTTGGGTGTATTTCTTACAAGAAAAATCAAAAGCATTTGAGGTTTTTAAGAAGTTCAAACTGATGGTGGAGAAAGAGATTAACAAACAGATTAAAGCAGTGCGATCTGACAGAGGAGGAGAATTCACATCAGCAAAATTCATGGAGTATTGTGAAGAGCAAGGTATAAGACGTTTTCTCACAGCTCCATATTCACCACAACAGAACGGTGTGGCTGAAAGGAAGAATCGGACCATCCTTGATATGGTTCGAACCATGCTTAAAGGAAAGAACATGCCCAAGGAATTTTGGGCAGAGGCAGTGCAATGTGCTGTATATATACAGAACAGGTGCCCGCATTCCAAGCTAGATGGTGTGACACCGCAAGAAGCATGGAGTGGACGAAAGCCGAGTGTAAACCATTTCAAAGTCTTCGGAAGCTTGGCTTACGGTCATATCCCAGCCCAGCTCAGAACAAAACTTGATGACAAAAGCAAAAGGTATGTATTAATTGGGTATGATGAAAAGGCAAAAGCCTACAAACTGTATAATCCGGCTACAGGTAAAGTTTTGGTGAGTCGAGATGTCCAGGTAGATGAAGAGAGTGAATGGAGCTGGGATGACTCGAAGGAGAAGTCCTCTGGGAGCACGGTCTCTGAGAGAGAGAGCTCGGTAACAATTGAGAGGAACCCAGAAACCACAGCTGAAAGGACGAACGAGTATTCTGAGGAAGACAATGAACCTGTACAACTCAAAACTCGGAGTTTGCAGGACATCTATAACTCCACTGATGAGGTACATGTAGTGTGTCTATTGACAGGTGCAGAAGATGTCAAATTTGAAGAGGCCATAATCGATAAAAAATGGAAGAAAGCAATGGATGAGGAGATCAACTCAATTGAGAAAAATGAAACATGGGAGCTAACAGATCTACCCACAAGAGCTCGGCCAATTGGTTTGAAGTGGATATATAAAAAGAAAACCAATGCTAATGGGGAGGTGGAGCGTTATAAAGCCCGACTCGTGGTGAAGGGCTACAGACAGCAGAAAGGCATTGACTATGATGAGGTTTTTGCACCCGTAACAAGGATGGAAACGATCCGATTATTATTTTCATTAGCAGCACAACACGAATGGAAGATACAACAGATGGACGTGAAGTCTGCATTCTTGAATGGGATTCTGGAGGAGGAGGTCTACGTGGAGCAACCTCTAGGCTACATGAGAAGAGGTGAAGAGAAGAAGGTATTGAAGCTCAAGAAGGCACTATATGGATTGAAGCAGGCTCCTCGAGCCTGGAATGAGAGAATAGACACCTATTTCAAAAGGAATGGTTATGAGCAATGTCCGTATGAACATGCTCTGTATTTAAAAAAGTACAAAGGAGATACTTTGTGTATTGCTCTATACGTAGATGACCTAATATTTATGGGAAGTAAAGATGAGCTAGTTGAAGATTTTAAAGAAGTGATGAAGAGGGAGTTTGAGATGACCGATCTAGGCATTATGAAGTATTTTTTGGGTTTAGAGGTGGACCAAAGCACGACAGGTATTTTTGTGTCCCAAAAGAGGTATGCCGAGGAGATTTTAAGCAAGGCAAAGATGATGAAATGCAATCCAGTCCTACACTTTCCACATTATTTAGGGTGCTTTTGTTTTGAAGTTGCGAGAACGCTAGAGAGCTGCATGCATCATGCTGTGATGATTTTATCCCCTTTTTTCTCTCTTCTTTTTCCATGCAATGTGATAGAAAAGACGATGATAATTGTAATGCGATGTAATGATAAATGAACTTTACTAATTGCTTAAATTAGCAAGTTGGTCTTCCATTTTCAAATAGATCTCTGAATTATTTTTTTTGGTTGGGTTCTTAAAATAACTTTTTGATTAATTGGGTTATTAAATTAATAAAAAAAATGTTCTTGAAATAACTTTTTGAAGGATTAAAAGTAATATAAAATGACAATTTGTGAAATTTTTAAAACCCTAAAGGTCCAATAAATGATAAAAGACCTGACTAAAAAATGGTTTAAAAACTTATTTGAAAATTTGCGAATAACCTTTGATCAATTTGCTTTCTTACCATTTAAAAGTAGCTGTAGGAAATGTTCGCATTGTAAGCTATGAAGGTTCTTCTGATAGTTGGCAACTCTGTAGGTTTTTATCTGGCGTAATGTTTAACAAGCAAGTTTTTATTAGAGACTCTTAGAGTCTTGGTGTCCAATTTCCCAATTTCTCATGAAGGAATTCTTAGTTGCGTCGTTTTTAGTTAGAAAACCAATGCATTCAACTGAGTAGTTGTAAATTGTTTTATGTTGTGCTGTTTAATACATTGTAAATTGTCTTAACAGAATGCAAAACGCTTTTGAAGACTATGGCAGAAGATATTGCTCCCCTTCTTCATGGACTTGTTGATGTAACATGGACTGCAAAACAGCTGCATGCAATTGTTTCTAGGGAGAATTTGTAAGAGCATTTAATAAACATTTATTTGTCTCATCATTTCTGGAGTTCAAATTTTGGTGGGGTCAAATTTTCTTGTTGGAAAATATCAAAAACCTTGGCATAGACTCTTCAGAAAAGGCAAATCTCTCAATATGGTAGATTTTTGTCAAGTAAAAATGTAAATTGATCTCGTTAACTTCTTTATGTTTTATCCGACTGGATAACCAACCACAGGATTTGTCAGTTGTTAAGAGTTAGAAATTTTCGGAAGGTTGTGAATGTGATACGCTTCGCACCATAAAGAATAAGAGGACTCGAAATATGACGGGGGAATTTATAGTTTGATCCTCTCTCACATCACATATAGGCTGGCTTCAAAGTTCAGAACCATTACACAGAAACAAATAATGCCTAATATTTTGATTCTAAAACTATTAAACATTTTCAGCAGTTGATAGAATCGCACAAATCCAAATGCCAAATTTCAACTGTAATGTTATCAAGAAAGCAGTCATCCCACCTACAGTTTGTCAATTCTCTCCCAAATTGAGTTGGTCATGCTTTGCTTGAAAAGCGTTATTAAAATTACCTAGATAAAACAATGCCTAGCAAAACAATGAAAATGAAGAACAACTGAATCAAACTGTACTAATAAGTTCCTCGTCCTCTTGGCTTTCTATGTCAATGTCTTCAATGTTGATGCTCTTGTACCAGGAAGCACAGAATAAGTAGAGCACAAAGTCAACAGCAGTTAGTATTGCAACGAGGAAGTAAAACCTATCCAAGTGCCCCTCATTCAAGTTATTGGGAATCCATCCTGGATTATCACCTCTTGCAGTGATTCCCATGACCATGAACACCAGCAGGCTACTCACATAGTTTCCAAGGGAAATTGATGCCATGCAAAGTGAGCTTCCAAAGCTTTTTATGCCATCTGGGGCTTGCCCGTTAAAGAACTCCAATTGACCCACATACATGAAAACTTCTGAAGCACCAACTAGAACATACTGTGGGATTTGCCAAAATATACTCAAAGAACTAGCCTTTTCCCCTGGTGTAACCTGTCTGAGCCTTGCAATCTCTGTGACACCAGCTGCAACCATAGATAGCAGCCCGATAACTAGGCCAATTCCCATTCTTTGAAGCTCAGTTAGTCCCCTAGGGTTGCCACTGAACATTCCCGCCAGAGGAACAATGACTTGGCGATAAACTCCAGTGCATATAAGGACACTGAAGATATCAAACACTGACATGCTGGCCGCTGGCAAGTGAAAATTTCCAAGCTTGTTGTCCATCACATCCCCTTGCTCGACAAAAAGTGAAGCCATTTGCGTAAACACAACCGAATAAATTATAGTACATAGCCAAACTGGTAGCATTCTCAATACACACTTGGCTTCTTCAACTTGAGTGACAGTGCAAAGCCGCCAGTGATTCTTGAAATCATCTCCATCTTTCTCCGTTATCGTTGCTGCCTTGTCCATGAAACTGGTCAACATAAACAAACATGAACCAAGGATATGAGTGTCAATTCCACAAAACCAATTACTGAAATTAATACAATCAAAATAGATGGTTGTTTTACGCGATCACATATTTCTTATTACCTAAAATCGTCGCTGTGCAGAATCTTTCTACTGCCTTTTATGGCAGATTCTGGACCAGCAACCTCATAAAGTTGTTCTTCCTTGGCTGGTTGAATCTTCAACTTTCTAAAAGCAGCCACAAACACCTGAGCTATCCTTATCGCTGGATTCCCATATGCCTTTACATATCTATATCTTTTATATCCTGCCAAGTATGAAATTAAAGCAATGATAGCTGAGGCCAAGGACACCAAGAAACCCATCGTCCACATCCCTGTATCCTCATAGTATACTAATATAGTGTTGGAGAATAAAGATCCAACGTTGAGGGCAAAGTAAAAATAAGAGAAGAAAGCTTCTCTGGCGTTCTTATGTTTTTCGTTCTTCTCATCAAATTGATCCGCCCCAAAGGTTGCTAAGGTGGGTTGATGCCCTCCATATCCAAATGCCACTAGATATATGGACAAGTAGAATACGCCAATACCCGCATCTGATGGTTCCCTGCATCTAGTTTCTTCATTGCCACAACCAGCTGGTTTGATCAAAAGTTTCCAAGAAGTCATGGACAGCAGTCCCAAACCCTGTTCATGTTCAACATGCATATTAAGAATTTTGTATAGTATTATTTAATTATTGGTTATGGCAGAAGAGTGTTATATTAAGATGTAAGGTGAATTCAATACAAAACAATACCACAACAAAAATGAGCTGAAAGATTGAGCAGGTTAAATATCGGCCCCAGTAAGAATCACTGAGGAAGGCCCCAATCAGTGAGAATATGTAAACGGTTCCGGTCCACTTGCTCACATTGTTAGCAGCCTGGGCACTGTCTTGGCGAAGGACTCGAGTCAGAAACAAAACCAAGTTTACTCCAACTCCAAAGAAAGCTAGTGTGGCCAGTGCTTGATTCGCTGCATTTAGTACAATATTAAATCAAAACATGTTGCATCAAACTTACTCATGTGTTGTCATTCATTTCTGATTTGTGAAAGTGGATTACGAATTAACTCATCATATTTCAGTACCAAGCAAGATAATTGCAGTTTTCCATCCTCCTATACACTCCTTATCCTTTCTGGGTGACAGCTTGCTGTAGCGACCATTTCCTCCTGCCACCTGCTTTTTTCAAAAAAAAGTTAAAGAAAGAAAGAAAGCACATTACACAAAGAAAATAACAAATTTAGCTTATGACCTTTTTGCTATTCAATATGTCTTGATATTTTAGTTTGGTATATGTAATCTTTCACAATTTCAGTTGTGATACTGGCCATAATTGATTACCTATTTAACATCAACACGCAGAACCCCCTCATTTTGTTTTCTATCAAATTGAAACTAAACCTGATCCACTAAGAATAACTGACCTCAATTTCGTCAGAATTGACGCGGTTGACATCCCTTGAATTGGCGATTTCCGGTTCCAACTGCGACATGAAAAACTCTGTTTAAAACAACGGAGCTCCATTATTGATGTGGACAATGTCGGAGATAGAGAAAACAAAATGAGTCAACAGTGACACAAATTTCTCTTTGCAAATGACTATCCACTATTTTCAAGCATGAATATCCACTATCTTCATGTTATCTAGCATAAATCATGGATGATATAATCTGTTACAGTTACAAACATGCATGAACGTACTTTTATTTTCTATAAATGTCTCATATCATGTATATGTTGGATGAAAATATTAGGATCAAAACTTTAAAAGCAAAATCCACAAATGAATTTCTATTATTTTCATATTTGATATCAAAATAGTGTTAGTTTGTTTGCTGCCTTATACATCAAACAAGACATTTATGCCGAAACATAAAAAAAATCTTTAACAAGATCATTTTACATAAAAATGTAATGAGTACGCGGGAAACTGCATGTTAGAAATAATAATAATAAAAAAAAAAATGTTGTGTTTTGCTGTTATGAATAGAAATAAATAAATAAAAAGTGTAACCTTTTGCGGAACTTGGTGATAGAAATAATGAACTGTTCAGGAATAGTGTCAAATTCTGATGAGGGGGAAGAGGAATCAGTAGCGATAACAAAGGCGAACGTTCCCCGAGAATCTGCCAGGTTCAAACTTTTTGTCATTTATGGATCACAATCAAGGATGTTACCACTTCTTCTCTCAACCTAAACTCTCATGCGTGCGATTCAATCCTTTTCTTCCTTCTGAAGTCTCACTCTCACTCACACACACGTACACCTGATAATGATGATCGACACTTCACTATTAGTGACCAAGATCTAATAACAATAATTAAGAGTTAAAATTGAAGCTCTCTCTCTGATTAAATTCTTTAACCTGGAATTAACACTTCTCTAGCTAGTTGTTCTGTAATGGTGAATATATATACCAGTGAAGGAATGGATTTGAATTGTGTAGTTAACTATGGAGTCGGATCTCAATTAAGCAGAGTGTGTGGTGTAGTGAAGATGTTAGATATTTGTTTTGAGTGCAACCAAATGACTATAACTTCGGATAAATGTGGATGAACCCTTCTTTGAAGCGGTCTCCTCCTGAATCGCCTTATTTTCATACACATGATTATCAAGATTAAAACCCTAACTACCACTTCTTTTTCTAGACTTTTTCTCCATTCTCTATTTATAGAAACTAACTACACACGCATTCATTCATTTACAATATCCACTTCCCTGCAACTGCTCCCTTAAAACCCAAATTACTTTAACACATTTTCTAATGTCTACTATAAATCTTTATTTTATCTACCTAATGTTAAACTCTTTTTGATATATAAGTTATTATAATTAGAATTCGTGATAAAGAAGTATTTTCAAAATGTAAATTATATCTTAGATACATGTTAAATAATTTACATTATAATACAATGCTATATTTAATCATTTGATAATTTTATAAAGTTATTTAAATTCAATAAAAATAATGAGACGATGTCTCAAATAATAATAATAGTGATAACAGTTTTCACGTAAATACCGGTCTTGTTAAATGTGTGGTTGAGTTGAGAATGATATTTCTAACTGTAACTTCGAAAAGATTGTTGGAATTTAAGTTTGAGGTTGAGAATGAAGTTTATCTCCAGGGGTGGGAGTGATGATTACTGTAATCTTTACATTCAACATTTGCGGAAGCTTTCGTCCATGGTTGCCACCTTCCTTCTAGATGTGACAGGGCAATCAATGAAATCTCATCGCTTAATTTTAATGTCCGTCACAATCAACAATTCTATATTCAAGGTATGTGTCTGTGATTCTACTCAGTTTTCATATAAATTAAACGAATAATTCTTGGATAGGATTATCCGAGGAAAATCTAGCTTCCCATTAGTGTATCCGGAATTCTGATCAAACAAACAAAAGTAGAGGCTCGGTGTCAATGCATTGTGGCACATTAACCGTACCAAAAAAATCCGGCATCATATTCATGAAATTAACTCATGATGGTGGCGAGCACAGCAGACATATGGTATGATGATATGATATTCCATTCAGGCAAGGCAGGTGAAAATCAGACATATGAAGACATGCACACAAATAATATAAGATAATATATGTAGTCATAGTATGTTGATGTGAACTGTACTCAAGAAATGCTACACGATACGTCATGTATTTAGGCCAAGAAGCTCTCTCCTACGCACACCTTAGGAATGACTTCCCTGCTCAAGTAGGTTGTGTGTGTTGGGGTTCTTGCCCCAAGCTCTCTCCCTCCATATTACTTCCACTTCATCAAATGTCAATCCTTTGGTCTCGGGAACATACACAACCACAAATACAATTGCAACCAAAGTTATACCACCAATAATCAGGAAAGTAGAGGCAATCCCTATACCCTCCGCAATTGAAAGAAATGTCTCTGAGACAATCAAATTTGAAACCCAACACACGGTAGCTGACATGCCCCCACATATACCTCGATATTCTTCCGGATATATCTCTGAGTTCAGAGTCCATGGCACAGGCCCCATTCCTGGGGAGAAAAAGGAAATATACAGGACTAAGCCTGCAACTGCAAGGTATCCATACAACACATTTGAAGATGTTGATTGCTTATAAAATGCAAAGGCCAAGACTATCAATGATACAAGTACTCCTGCGAGGCTAGAAAGAGCTAATTTTCTTCGTCCTGCATGGTCGATAAGGTAAATGCCAAGAATACTTCCCGCAGCATTCATGCCAGCAACTATCAGAGATAGGAGAAGAGCCAACTGATTGGCATGGAACCCAGCCATTTGGACAATTGTTGGGCTGTAGTACATGACTGTGTTTATACCTGTGAACTGCTGAAAAGCCTGCACAACCATTGAATGCTATAAGGACACAATTTCAAACACAGAACGTAATGCACTTAGTCGCCACTAAAAAACAGTACAAGGGAAGATGGTGGTTTCTTTAATCAATCACAAAACCAGAAAAAAATCTGAAAAAGAAAAAAAAAACAGTCTGAAAACCAAATTCAAAACGGAAATTTAAAAGTTTTAAACTGAAATTTAATTTAATTGTTTGTTTGGTATGTTCTAAAGCGAAATTACACAAAAAATGGTAGTGAAAACAGTCTGCATGTTAAGAGATCAATACAAATTCGCCTCTTGAAATGTTTCAAACATTATGACTTTGAACCTTTGTGCTAACATTACAAATTCAGTGCTAAATGTTCAATTATATGAAGCAGACCATAAAGTGTTTTGATGCTAGCTTAAGTTTCACAGGGATCGTTGCGTATGCAATTTCTACTGTGCAAGGCAAGCTCATATAATTTAAAAGCTTTAAACAAGCCTATGATTTCACGTTACTGGCACTCCAATTCTGCAATTATTTGTAAATAGTTTAGCAAAGCAGAATTGTTCTAGTTAATGGAATGACAGAAAGGAACATTTATGTCCTTTCACTTCGAGTAAGTTTGCATGAAGAGTCTCTATGTAAACATTTTATTACCATAAGTCCGCCTCCAACAAAGAATGCTAGCCTGATTTCTTTTGATTTAAAAACATCCCCGAATTTGATATTGCTCCTTCTTTGACGCTCCTGCTCTGCTTGAGCAGTCAGGAAATCAACTTCATCTTCCAACCGAGCAACATCATAGATCTTAGAAAGCACATCAACAGCCTCATGTTTTCTATTCTGTACTTGAAGATAGAATATTAAGTTGGCATTATAAACTAGTGGCATTTGAAGGGTAAGTTAACATCTGAGACATAATTCTTGACAAGAGCAGTGAGGCAATTATTACCTTTGTAAATAGCCATCTTGGGGATTCAGGCAGGAAGAGCATGAGAACAAACTGAATAACTGCTGGCACACCTGAAACACCAAGCATCCATCGCCATGTCCCAGGAACCTGCTCTTAATGTGAAAAGGTGGTTAGTAATACCCAAAAGCAAGTATGTGGATAGATTGAAGGACGTTTTCAGAACACTTTTGGGACAATAAGTGGAGATGGAGAACTATATATTTCATTATTAACAGTAGCAGCATAAGAAGAAGATATGTTGGCAACAACAGAGAATGGAATACTGACCCCTGTAAAAGCAAGGTTTACAAGATAGGAAATGAATTGTCCACCAGTTATCATGAGCACATTTGTGCTTACTAATGATCCCCTTATTTCGGATGGTGATGCTTCTGCAATATATACAGGAGCAGTGACTGAAGCGATGCCAACACCCAAACCAACCAGAAGACGTCCCAATATGAGAACGTAAGGATCTGGTGCAGCAGCCATGAGAATTGCTCCAAGAGTAAAAATAACATCAGCCAAGAGGGTGGCCTTCTTTCGTCCATAAGCATCATTAATCCAACCACCTAGTGCTGCTCCAACAATTGCCCCAGCAATTGCCATGCTGACAATGGTTTCCTGGGAGGATCAAATAAAAAGAATAAGTAAACAGTTTCTTCCCCTTCAAATAAATGCAACATGCAAATATTAACCCATTGGATTCTTTGGTCCTGACCCACATATTCATTTTAAGGGATAAAATCCACCTCATGTGAGAAAATACAAGGACTAGAAAGTTGAGAAGTGGATATTGACAGAGAAGAGTAGGTACCTGGAGTAAATTACTGGCTCGAACTTGCTCAAAATCATCTTTAATATACAAAAGAGCTCCTGATATGACACCTGGAGGAAAATGAATTGAGAAGAGATGAAAAAGTAGAAATTGAGAAAAAATGTTGAGTAAAAGAGAGGAGAGGGTGTAAGTGAATGAAACCAGTGTCGTAGCCGAAGAGAAGACCACCGATGCCAGCGACGGAAGCGAGGCCGAGAATGTAAGGATTTTTGAAAAAGGACATCTTCCGCTCCGGATACAAATCCAAATAACCAGAGCTTCCCGGCGTCGACTGCATCGTGATCGTCATCGCAGCTTCTTCTTCTTCTTCTTCCTTCTACAGTTCAGTTTCTTCCTCTCGTCAGCGATTCATTCGAATTCCTTTTTATCTTGGGATCAACTCTTCACTCATCACCCAACAACACACTCTCCGCCAGCTGGCACTATCACGTCGTGTCCCCAATTTGCTTTCTTTTTTCTTTTCGTTTTATAAAAAAAACCATTTTTACGAAGGATAATTGAATCGGATGAAGAATTTGACAGTTGAATAAGATTATTAGTATGTTCTGTATGAAAAAACTGTAATTATTGAGAAGTGAGGAGCAGACAAGACACGTGTAGGGTGGGATCAATAGAACCACGTGCCACGTGGAAGCAACATATCCATCTTCAACTTCATGCTCCCCGACACAACCACGCCCACCATTTTTTTTATTTTTTTTATTTATTTTACAGTTGTAATAAGTCTGCTAAAAATATATTAACTCATTAAAAAAAAAACTAATGAATTTATCATCTGTTAATAAACCAACACTAAAAACCATCTATGTTAGGAAATTTTTAAAAATAATTGTGTTTTGAATTTTTACAGGTAAAAAATGGTTTGAGCGAAATAATTTGTAATGATTGAAAAATGTGAAACTATGAATAATTTTATATGGTTAGAATGAAGGCGCGTGTGTGGTTGTTACGTATTTGGTTTTACTTGATTGATTTCAGGTGTTTCATGTGTTTTGCTCAAAGGCTGTTTGATTTGGAAAAGAAAACGACAACGAAAAGCAGAAAATAATAAGTTCAAAAACATAATCTATGATATCATGTTGACGTGCTTCGACAAATTGAACATAAATAATCATGAAGGGACGCCAAAAATGTGGTAGATAAATTTCTAACAACCACGATTAAATATCAAGTATGAGAAGATACAATACAAGTTACACTTAACAATATTATCAGGAACATGTCTCTCAAGAGACATATGTTATCAGTGCACATAAATAAACTGATAGTAACGTACCTCTCTGATCACTGATAAAGAGAAAAATAAGGAGCCATGACCCTATAATTGGAACACCTTTCGATTTGTTAAAACAAAATTATTTGTGGAAATAATTGTAGTGAAGTTAGTGAAAGTTGGGATGAAAATAGAAAAGCCCAATAACCAATTGTGTATCATTAGTTTGAAAGATCCAAAGCCCAACAAGGAAGAGATGAAATTTTATTTTATTTTGAATTATTATTTATATTTACTTTTTTATTTATTTATTTTTATTTATTATTTTTATTTTTTATTTATTTTTTTTTAACCCAAAAGAGTTTTAGAACAACAGTGGACTATCAAAATAGTATTAAGAGAAGTAAGAATGTTAAATTAAATAGAAAATCAAATAAAATATTCCAATAACTGAAAATAAAATATTAAATAACTTAAAATTAAATAAAATATTCAAATAACAGCAAATAAAATAAAATATTTAAATAACGAAAAATCAAATAAAATATCCAAATAACAGCAAATCAAATAAAATATTCAAATAACTGAAAATCAAATATTAAATAACTTAAAATCAAATAAAATATTCAAATAACTGGAAGTCAAATAAAATATTAAAAACTAGCAATCAAATAAAATATTCAAATAACTGAAAATCAAATAAAATATTTAAATAACTAAAAATCAAATAAAATATTTAAATAAAATAAAATAAAAACAAAAAAACAAAACAGAAACAGAAAATAAAAATTGAAAACCTAGACAAAAATCTTGATCCCGAGAACGGCGCCAAATTTGATCGATGTCGTACTTCGGTCAAATAATTAAAATAGATAAATGTAGTACTAGGAAGTTTTCCTAGGTCGTCTCCCAAAGACCACAAATTTCTATCAAAGCTTATCAATTTTTAAAATTAGAACAGTAACAAAAAAAGGGGAGTTTTTCAAAATTAAAATATTACATGAAACAGAACAAAAGCAGATTATAAAAATGCGGATTAAAATCAGATTAAAATGCAATTGATTTTCTGATTCTAATGTAGTGTCACTTATCCTAGATTACGAAATTAATTCAAAATTTACCAACTAAGCGAAGATAAATCCCAAATTATATTCTAATACAAAATTAATCAACTAAGCGAAGATTAATCTCAAATTAGCTTTAACCCTTGTTCCAATATGAAATTAACCAACTAAGCGAAGATTAATCTCAAATTTTCCTTAACCCTTATTCCAACATGAAATTAACCAACTAAGCGAAGATTAACCCCAAATTATCCTTATACAATTAAGCATTGCATACATCACATAATCTCATCTCTAACAAAGAATTAAGCAAACTGTGATATTAGTTTCGGTTTATTAAGCATAAACAGATTATAATTCAACACTAAGATTAGAAGATGAAGAGTTAAGAGAACAAACAAAATGAAATTGAAGAACAAAACCTCAAAGATCTACTTACATTCTTCTCAGAAAATCAATACAAATATTTAGCTATCCATGGAAAGTTGAAAGCGCAATAGAAGAAACATAATTAAAATCGAAACAAGAATTTAAAAAATAATGACAGAAGAGTAAACAAACTTGAATATAAATTGCAGAAGATGAAAGGTGGAAGTGTGGTGGCTGTGTAGTCCTTGTGTGATGTGTGTTTTCCGTGTGATGTGTCTCTCTTATATAAATAACCCTAACCCTAAAATCTTAATCGAGGTTTGGGCTCAACTAGTCCATGAAACACATCATAAATTGGCTTCAGTAAAGATCCATGAACTTCAAACACGTGCAGTATTTTCAATACTTATCCAAATTAAGCGATTTTGGTCTCCTTTGAAATCCTTTTGAGTTAGCTTTAAAACGCCATTGTTTCTACTATTTTCGGAGGTCTAATGAATTTAGGAGACTTAAATTACTGAAGCATGTCCATTGGGTCGGTCTGGTGCGCTTGACCCGTTTTGGATAATTTATGTAAAATCCAATTTAGCTTCGAATTGAATGATTTTTTATCCTGTGGAAAGCTCAATGTGTCTAGTTTATAATTATTTTAGAATCATGTTATTTGGAGATATGTAGAAAAAATGATAAATAAAACAATAAACTAATGTTAGTACCAGTATAAAATAAAATATGACATTTGGCCCAATTTTTCAAGTCCAAAATTGTTTTAAAGCTGTCCTAAAATTAATAATGAGTAAAAATTAGATCAAATAGATTCAAATTAATTAAAATATAAATTATTGGCCCAATGAAGCCCAATCAATGAAAATGCACTAATAATAGACAATTAAACATAATGCACCAATTAAGATAAGTACATAAAGATAAGAAAATGCGGGAAAATAATGACTCATCAAATTCCCCCACACTTAGCCTTTTGCACTCCCGGGCAAAATCAAGAAGCAAAGCAAGGAGCAATTCCAAAGACATCGAAGAGAGTGACATAACAAAAAGGAGCTAGAATAAGAAGACACACAAAACACAAACAAATTTACACAATCCTTAATGAATCCTGGGAAAGAAAGGAGTAGACAACATCCAACACACAAAGAGTCAGAGGAACCAGATACTCATGGAAATCATCCAAGCATTTCAAAACCTGGCAAGAGGTCAATCAGGTCAAAAGGTGAATCAAAGTGACAAAACCTCACAAGATTGCACTGTATCTCTCATGTGTCTAGGCTACTGTATACTCTCAAAATACTCAAGAAAAGCAAATAACAGATAGACTTGGCAAGCCTCTAAACTCAACACCCAACGCACATGCACAAAAATATCAAAAGGTCTTTTTAGGTTGTAATGGGGGTAGGGACAAGGTAGAGGATATCATATGGGATAAGTAGCTATGAACCAGGAGGAACTAGAGGAGCAATGGGGAATAAGTAAAAAATAAGCACAAGATGCATGCTCAAAAACCTCTAACAAACCTCTAATATCAAACCTCCTCTATTGTCTTTTGCCTCAACCACAACTTTCCTTTCTTCTTCTTTTTTTATTTATTTTAATTTTTTTAATTTTTTTTTCTCTTTTTTTTTTTAAATATATCTTCTTCTTTTTTTAAACTATATGAAATACATTGAAAGGAAAACACAAAAGCTATGCAGTGAGAGATAACCAACTAGCCGAGTACATCATCCAATGAAATACAAAATGCACCCCCACACTTATTTAATAACTTATTCCCAAAACAATTCCAAAGCTCCAAAAATCCCTAAGGTTAAGGTAATCATGGTTTTTCACTTAAGGCTTTTAATGAGATTCAAAAGAAATAAAGGGAAACATAGGCTCAAAGGGGCTATCAAAGGAATTAATTCAAGGTAGGCTCATTTGGCTAGAGGCTAATCAGAACAAAAATGCCTTAATCATCTCCAAACATGCATGTGAATCAAGAAGTATCAATCAGAGTCAAGTCAAGGCTACTGCGCAAGTAATCAAGAGGCATAACACTCAAGAAAGAACAGGTAGTGGCTCAATTCCTCACAAAGGGTAAGATTGTTGCCTTCAATTCAACCTCTCAAACATCGTAACCAACTTGACAAGCAGAGAAAAACAGGGATTTCAATCCAAAAAGCATAAAGCAACTCTTATCCCAAGAGTGAAGGAAGTGCCCAAAACCTAAACAAAACCCAGAGATCCAAAAGAAACATGCAAATTGTACACAAAACACGAACCTAAAATACAAAGAAAACTAAAAATCCTAAACAAAGAAAACAAAGAACAGTCTCCCCCACACTTAAACTACAAATTGTCCCAATGTAGCATAACATCAAGTCAAGCAATCAAATCACCAATTGGACAAGTGCAGTAAAAGTAAAGAGAAGGAAAAAGAGAACTCCCTAAGTCATGGTGGAAGGTAAGTGGGATCAATCAAGGATATCTCCTCCACAACTACATCCACTAAAGAAGGATTGTTGAGGAATGGTTTCAGTCGATGGCCATTAACCTTGAAGCTCTTTTCTGTGGATTCACTTTTAATTTCAACTGCACCATAAGGATAAACATTAGTAACAATAAAAGGTTCAATCCACTTTGAACGCAACT